AATATACAAATGAAATGTAAATCTTAAATACAGAAACTAGAGTTAAAGAAAACGTGTTACCAGTTGTAGAGCTACAAGAGTACGTTAACACAGTAACATGTTTAAAATGACAAAAGTAGATTCACAAAGTTAAACGATTTTAAGTCAAGCATAACGCCCCGCCCCTCTCGGAGTATTTACGAACTTCTATTGAGGACAGGTATAAAACGGCGCCTCTCCCATTTTTCTAAATAAAACTTCAGGACAACATACCGCATTTTTCATAACATATATTTGTTACATTTGTTACAAAAGTTTTGTCACTAGCAACATTACTTGAAAATTGCTGATTTTACCATTTAATTATGATGAAGATAACTTATACATTAACTTTTTATTTAACATCGTGTTTTCCTGAGAAACATCGGCGATTTGGAAGTTTTTAGGGGAAACAATGACCAACTTTAAGGGAGTAATTTTATTGATAATCTAAAAACCATCCAATATTTTTATTGGTATCATTGAAAAATGTATTGGCACAAATTTCATTTTCAACAAAAACTATGCAAGTATTTGCAAAAATAGGATTTTAAAGCGGCCACCGAGATTTCCTTTCCGAAATCAAGAAAATACAAAAACAATAAAAACTTTTTGCGCTTGTTCATTATTTCTCATGTACAGACTCAGTCAAACCGAGTCTGCAATTCTTATGTAATATTGTTATGATTAATGCTTTCTAGGGCTCACTTTGTTTCCAGATTTTTATACTTCACAACAGCAGGTGTCAAGTGCCGTGTAGCAGCTGTACAAAGTTTCCCCGTACTTCACTTTAGTGTTGTTATATTTTTCTGGTCCTTCGGGATCATTAATGCCAGCGCTATTAAGTGTTGAGAATTGAGTACCGCTCAAGCCGGTGCTAGGGGGCGTGTGGGATGTTGCACTTGTTCATTATTCCTCATGTGCAGACTCAATCAAACCGAACTGCAATTCTTATGTAATTTTGTTGTGATTAATGCTTCCGAGGGATCACTTTGTTTATACTTGTTTAAAGCTTATGGTCTTTACTTTAAAAAATCAATATTCATTTTCTTTTTCGAATAAATGATCTAAAGAAAGGGACGTGTTTTTCTTTCCGAATATATGAGTATGGTTTTATGGGTGAAAAAAAAAACAACGATAAGTTTGAAACACAATTTTTAATACTTCTAAGTTATTAATTTCCATTTTTAAGGCATCACTAGAAAGTTCATGAAGGATTCTTTTACTTGAGTCTAAAATTATCAAAATTGACCAAGAAATAAAAAAAAGTAAGTAGGGGGCTCCATGTTTCTCTTACTGAATTTCAGAGTTTTTTTTTTTTACTTGGGGACCATATGCCGTTTTTCGTGGAATGTCACATTGAAGTTTCCATGATAATCGCCATATTAACACATCTGTGGATGTTTCAAAATTCAAAATTGTATCAGTTCATGTTGAATTTTGCTTAAGCCGGTGCTAGGGGGTTGCGCTTTCCATTACCGTCCATGAACAGGCTCAATCAAACCGAACCTGCAACATTCTCAATTTTGTCGTTTTGAGCATTCTTTAGTGATTCTTATTTTCTCTATTTTACAGAAAGTAACATGATAAACTTTTAAACGAAAATTTAATTCATTTTGATTTAATTCATTTTTATTTTAGGCATTATATAAATCGTAAGAAGCACACTTTTATTTCAATCAAAATTATCAAAATTGATTACGAAATAAAAAAGTTTGGAGGGGACGCCGTGTTTTTCTTACCAATTCGAAAGTGCTATTTTCAGAGGAAAAAATGATAAATTTTGAAACGAAAATTTCAATACATCTGTTTAATTCATTTTTGTTTCTGAGGCACTCATAGAAAGCTTATGGAGTAATCTTTCATTTGATACCAAAAATATTTTACTTTTTATAGAAATAAAAAAAGTTGGAATGAACGCCGTGTTTTCCTTCTCTTCATTGAGAAATAGGAGAGATGCGACGGGTATTATACCTGTCCGTACATTTTCGTAATAGGTAAACGTAAATACTCAGAGAGAGGCGGGGCGTCATGCATGACTTAAAATCGTTTAACTTTGTGAATCTACTTTTGTCATTTTAAACATGTAACTGTGTAAACGTACTGTTGTAGTTCTACGACTGGAAACACGTTTTATTAAATTCTATTTTCTGTATTCGAGTTTTACATTTCATTTGTATTGTTCAGGTACAGATAGATATCTTCAAGTGTGCAAACATGCTTATTTATTATATGCAATGGAAGATACGAACTTGTAAATTTGTTGTTGTTCTCCATGTTAGTTCAGTTGTTAGTTCAGATTTACATGTAAACTTGTTATTTAAAAGCGGATGCCTTCAATTAAAAGATTGGATTAAGAGAATATCATTTGCTGTGCACGAATACAATCAAAAATGCTAGACATACACGTTCGCATTTTCAAAAGAAGTTTTCAAAAGGAACACATTACATGTCTGGAATTTTGGCAACGATCGCCCTCCATAATAATTTACTCAGTTTAAATAAGGAAACACATTTAAAAATATACATATTATTACATTGAAGATTTACAACAGTGTTGGAAAAATATGTAAATGTTCTAATTTGCATACAGTCATGTACATGTATAATTTAAAATTATCAAATTTAACATCCTGTTGTATGGATCTATTTTTAGCTCACCTGTCACAAAGTGACAGGCTGAGCTTTTGTGATCGCTTTTCGTCCGGCGTCCGTCCGTCCGTCGTCCGTCCGTCCGTCCGTAAACTTTTGCTTTAAATGACATCTCCTCATAAACCACTGAGCCAATTTCATCCAAACTTCACAGGAATGTTCCTTTGGTGGTCACCTTTAAAAATTGTTCAAAGAATTTAATTCCATGCAGAACTCTGGTTGCCATGGCAACCGAAAGAAAAATCTTTAAATATCTTCTTTTAAACAACCCTAAGAGCTAGAGCTTAGATATTTGGCATGAAACATCTTCTAGTGAGTGTCTACCAAGTTTGTTCAAATAAAAGCCCTGGGGTCAAAATTGGCCCCGCCCCAGGGGGTCATTGATTTTCCCTATATGCATATAGTAAAAACTTAAAAATTCTTCTTTTAAAGAACCCAAAGAGCTAGAGCTAAGATATTTAGCATGAAACATCTTCTAGTGAGTGTCTACCAAGTTTGTTCAAATAAAAGCCCTGGGGTCAAAATTGGCCCCGCCCCGGGGGGTCATTGATTTTCCCTATATGCATATAGTAAAAACTTAAAAATCTTCTTTTAAAGAACCTTAAGAGCTAGAGCTAAGATATTAAGCATGAAACATCTTCTAGTGAGTGTCTACCAAGTTTGTTCAAATAAAAGCCCTGGGGTCAAAATTGGCCCCGCCCCAGGGGGTCATTGATTTTCCCTATATGCATATAGTAAAAACTTAAAAATCTTCTTTTAAAGAACCCAAAGAGCTAGAGCTAAGATATTAAGCATGAAACATCTTCTAGTGAGTGTCTACCAAGTTTGTTCAAATTAAAGCCCTGTGGTCAAAATTGGCCCCACCCCGGGGGGTCATCGATTTTCCCTATATGCATATAAAAGCCCGGGGGTCAAAACTGGCCCTGCCCCAGGGGTGTCATTGTTTTTAACTATATGTGTATAGTAAAAACTTTAAAAATCTTCTTTTAAAAAACCCAATGAGCTAGGACTTAGATGTTTAGCATGAAACATCTTCTTATGGGTGTCTACCAAGTCTGTTCAAATAAACAAATAAAAGCCCTTGGGTAAAAATTAGCCCGGAGGTGTGGGGGGGGGGGCCTATATACAGGTGAGCGACCTCAGGGCCATCATGGCCCTCTTGTTTAATAAAACTCTTTACTTGCATTGCTTTTGAATTGAATTGAAACTATTTTTTAATAAAACTCTTTACTTGCATTGCTTTTGAATTTTGAAATATTATGAAATGTCCATCATAAGTTGAATTAACAAAAGAAACTGATAGTATAGGGTCTGTTAAGACTGCACAGTGGTGCATATTGGTGAACAGTAATAAATAGCATAATAAAAGCCATTATGCAGTAGATCATAGTGGTGCACTGTTGTTCATAATGGTGCAGTGTTATTCAAAGTTGTGCATAGTAGTTCATACTGGTGCACAGTTGTTCATTAGTGGAGTACAGTTGTTTATCATAGACATGCTCAGTAGGTAGTAGTGCATTGTGGTTTATAGTGGTGCACAATTCTGACAATTCTATGTCCAGAAGATGATAATAATAATAATAATAATAATAATAATAATAATAAAGACTTTATTTAAAGAGGCAACATAGTTGGGCAGGCCCAGTCTTCCCTATGACTGTATGAGCCTCTATGATGCGCTTATGATTGTTTATTTGACATTTTGGGCAAGGGTAATACTTTATATGACATTTTGGGCGGACACATCAGTTTATTTGACATTTTGGGCAATAATATAAGTTTATATGACATTTTGGGCAAGCATTTAAGTTTATTTGACATATTTGGCAAACGTATTAGTTCATTTGACATTTTGGGCTAACATAATAGTTTATTTGACATTTTGGGCAAGCAAATTAGTTTAATATTTGACATTTATGGGCAAGCGTATTAGTTTATTTGACATTTTGGGCAAACGTATTAGTTTATTTGACACAATGACATTTTAACATAATAGTTTATTTGACATTTTGGGCAAGCCTGATAGTTTGTTTGACATTTTGGGCATGTGTATTAGTTTATTTGACATTTTGGGCAATCGTTATAGTTTATTTGACATTTTGGGCAAGCATATAAGTTTATTATGACATTTATGGCAAGCGGGATAGTTTATTTGACATATTTGGAAAGATTAATGAACATCATAATTATAGAACCAGGCTCACTGGCATCATACTCCTAGCATAGGTTGGTCATTACCACCAGTAGCGCTGAAAGAGTTTACAAAATTAATAATTTATACATTAACACTTTGGTATTCATTTCTTATAATGAAATGTTTATATTTTCAGAACAATAGTGACGTGGAAGTTATTCCGACAGACGTTGAATGAAGTACATAATATCAGCTCTCCGCTCGAGGCAATGGCGCTGAAGTCAACGATTGACCTGACCTGTAATGATTACATCTCATGCTTTGAGTTTGATGTATTTTCAAGGTAAGACTAAGAATATGGAATACATGTGGTCTTTGAAATTAATTGTAATTTTTTTTTGCGCAAAGTGATATGTTTAGCTGTAATGTAAAACTGGACAGTTTGACACTGCCGCCTTTTTAGACTCATGCAGTGAATTTTGAAATGTTCAGATTACTTTGTAATGTTCAGATTAATCATCATTAAAGTCTTTGATATCATTCACGGTAATGAGCGTAATGTTCATAAAAGCATGTCAGGTTAACTTTGTTTACTTTTATGTGTGACTCAATTATATTTAATCTGAAACATCGTAGGCATGTGTTATATCAGTAAAGCCTGTCAGAGGTACTGGCTGATCTGACCAAACCGTTGGCTGCACAGTTTTAGTATTTTGATAATTATTTAGAACCATTCCAAATTCAAAGCAGGACAGATCAGTTACACTATTTCAGTGGGGGTAAATGTTAAACTTGATAGTATTAATGGTTGTAGTGGATCTATTGTTTCAGTTATATACACTATAACCTATTTTTTTGTCAACTTAAACTATATTCACACCATTTTAACCCTTAGTGTCCAGCTTTATTTATCATTCAGTGAAAACAATGTATTTCTTAAAAATTCTGTTTGTTAATTTTCAAAGAAGGACAAAAGTAGATATTATATTAAATTCAATTCAAAGTATGTTATAGAACCGCATTCATTAAAAATCCTGACATAATATTATAAAGTGAATTTTATAAAGCCAAATAAAGATTGACACTAAGAATGTAAGTGTTCATCTGTAGCTGGTTTACATAAATTAGAAACATTATCCTGTCGCTATGTTTCCCCAGCCCCCCCCTACCCCCCGTCAAAGTATCTTATTTCTGAAGAACAGCAGGAATAAACACTAACATAAACATAGACTGTAACCAGTGCAGACAAAGGTAAGGGGGCACCTGCACATCTGTGCCATCTTAATCATGGTCTGCACAGTTTGCTATTCTGTCGTGCATATTTGTATAATTTTCCCTAACTCCCTAAAAATGGTGAATGGTCTAGTCCATATTGAAAGATTAACACGTCCATTTCAAATATTTGGTGTTGTAAGGGTTATAATAATCTACAAAATACTATAGAGTTTAGAAATAGACCATGTTTTAGCTATAATATAATATATAAACTTGTTGAATACAGTGTACTGTTAACTGAATTGTTTATTATAGAATTAAGGAAGTTAAACTGAATTTGCTATCTGATAACAAGTGGTTTTCTTCATGTAAATATCTAAATTTGTCACCCGTTATCTCACTCACAATTTGCTTGAATATTGGGGACAATTTATCAAGCAGATAGTTATGTTTTTTCTCTCTTGTTTTATTTCATTGACTTAACCTGTACCATGCCCATAGCTTTCATTAAAATTTTTCCTGAACACATTTACAATGTTTGGTAGATATTGAGTGTCGGATAGGAATACATAAAAGTGAATTAATGTTTATTTTAACTGTTCGAGACGTCCACAGTGTTGTATGTCTTCAATGTTGTATTGCCAGTTTAAGGTGCCTCTATGACTTGGGGTAGGTATTATAATGGTCTCTGAGCCTTATGGCAGGTATTATGATTGCTTCTAAGCAGGTCTAAGTAAGCCACGCCGGACGTAAGCCCCCCCATTTTAAAATGACAAGGTGGACAAAAGCCCCCCCCCCCATTAAATTTACACATAGGACAAAAGCCCCCTCCCCCATCAAAAATACAGGTAGGACAAAAGCCGCCCCCCCCCCCCCCCCCATCTCCACCCCAAATCAAATTTTAAAATGGCGGGCTTTCGTCCGGGGCGCTTTTGTCCGTATCCCCCCAGAGGCAGGTACATGCATTATGATTGCCTCTAAGCCATCTATGCCATCTGTCAGAGCAGGTTTTAGTTTAGCTCTTTAGCAGGTATTATTGTCTTTGACCATAAACTATGGGTTTTGAGAATGTATAGTGACCTCTGACCATGAAATATGACCTTTGTTATTTTATCTGAGCATGCTCTTCTGTCAATATCTTGCTTTATTATAAATCAGTGCCAGATTGGGTGAATTGCAAAACAATGTCTTCTTGATAGGTTTTCTATTACTGATAGGTTTTCTATTACTATATTATCTCCTTTTATTGAAATGACTAAAGGGATGGACTTGCATCATTTCCCATGCAGGTGATTGTTTCGATATCAGAACAAGTGCTATTGATCAAAAGGAATAAAAGCTTTGTTTGATTAAAAACCTAATATCAAATTATTGTTGTTTGCTATAGGAAATTAACCAATCCTCTAGTTTAGACCTCTAGTTAATCTAGACAGCAGTATCTGGTGAGGAAAATATTTACAAAGCATCATGATCTAATTGTGTTGTATTAATTTGTAACTATTAATCTTTTCAAGTACACCAGCTGGTCAGATTACACTAAATTTAAGGAAAACTTCATACTTCAAGTGCTCATCTGTTATAATAACATATTTCTTATGCAAGTTTGTAGGTTTTTAAATTATAAAAGTTCAGTTATCTGATATTCACTATGCAGTGTTATAGTTCTTGATGGTCACATCTTCAGATAAGTTGATATTAATTTATAACTCTTATGGTAGACTGAGCACTTATAACTGAAGATATTATGGGTTTAATTTTTCAAGTTATGTATCAAATTTTCAATCAATTTTTATGCTCATTAATGTAAGTTTTAGTATTGACTCCTGTAACACATAATATAAGATAGGTGCATGTACCTAACCCTTAGCTGTCTGAATTTCTAAACAGAACTTGATAGGCATCCATTAGGCCATCCTTAAAAAAATGTTTGTTTGCAGTAACGCGACCGACTCACAAAATTTGCCCCTACTCAAAATTTTTTTTCATGGGCTGGATAAAAAAAAAATTTTTTTGGAATCAGAAAATTAAGCCTTGTGCTTTGTTTTCGTTCTTTTAAAGGTTTATAGAAGAAATAAAATGTAGGTCTTATTAAATTAGAATTCAGTTATCAATTTATTAATTGTTACCAGATTATCAAAGCATATATTGTCCAGCATTTTGAAATTCCATGTTTATTTGGGAGTACAGTTCAATAAAAAAAAAAAAAAATCGACCTACCTACCCACCTTGAAAATTCTGGGTCGGGTTACTGCAAACAAACATTTTTTTTAAGGATGGCCTTATGAGAACTGTCCAATATCAATTTTGGGGATATCAAAATGAAAATTTTGAAGTTGGTCAGACAGCTGTGTAGAGCAAAATCTTTGCCTTGAATTGATCGAACAAAATATTGTTAGATGAAACTTTACACATGTGTGTGTGTGGTATTTATCTTTCTTGAGTTCATGTCTATGTAAATATTGCTGGAAACAGTAAGGTTTGAACATTTTACCTGCTGCATCTGAAAAGAACCCAGCCTTTGCCTCCAGTATAGAGCCAGGCCAGCCTACACATCCCTGCAGTCTTACCAGGATGTTTACAGGATGTAGCTCTAATCTGTATTTTGATACTGAAATCCCATAAAGTTTGAATGGACTGTTCTAATTTCAAATTTGGCAAATCCATTAGTCAAATTTTATAAAAGGCTTATAAATAAACAAAGGGTAAATATATACAAAGTGCTAGAATCAAGTGACAAAAATAGAAAAAAAATCTGATGCCAACTTCCAAACACTTAAAATAAAGGATATATAAAACTATTATAAAGTATTATTAAATAAAGGATATATATAACTATTATAAAATGTTTATTTCAGGTTATTCCAGCCATGGTGTAATTTGTTACGGAACTGGAATGTGTTGGCGGTCACTCATCCTGGTTATGTAGCGTTTCTTACATATGATGAGGTCAAAGGTCGACTTCAAAAATACGCCAATAAGCATGGCAGGTTAGTTTGAACTTTTCTATTTCTTATTGATTTCCTGCCTAAAAACTGATAATGCTGCAAATGAATAAGTTTAATTTTTCCCATCCTCAATTTATTTCAATTTACGGAATATACGTAGAGTGTGAATTAATGTCAGCTTTTTAAGAATGTAAAGAACTTAGTACAATGACCCCTTTATTTCTTTTAATTGATATATGTCACTGCAACTTTATATTTTTGTTATAGTTAAAACATTTAAACATTATAATTATTATTAGAAAGCTTGTTACCACTCTCAAGTCCGTTTCCCGGAGGATCTCTGTTGGGTTTTTTAGGCTTGTGTAGGATATGTTGCTCTAGCCTTTAAAGGTTAGGGAAATAGATAAGAATGTGAATTTGTGTAAGAGGTAAAATTTAAAAAAACATTAAGTGGGAATAAATTTAAAGGAGTTAGTTTTCTATAAGGGGAAAATTTGAATGATTTCCAAGAAATTTTCTTGGGGATTTGGGGGGGGGGGGGGGGTGTTAGCTGAAGTAAATGTAAAAATTACAAGTATGAAAATTATGTTTAGCATAACCCTATATGCTCGATCTTACTCAAAGTGGAGATAAGCTGTGTATTTAGTTTTCTTACAAAAGTTATGTTCATGAATCAAACCTGGGATAGTAAAGTGAACCAAACTGTTAAGACATTTTATGAACATTTTGTTAATCATTCATAATTTGTTTTGACAGCATTCAAATGTATGCAATGGCTTACGAATAATAGAATGTATGTGGCTATCCCTTGTTATGAATTGAAGTTTTCATTAAAGGCAGTAAGGAAAAAGTGTCTACACCTTTTTTGCGTAGGCAAATCAATGTATATCACTAGCATATGACATCAGTAACATTTTGATTTTATAAGATTAAATGATTGTGTTCATTTAATGCCAGATATTTTTATCTGAGAAAAACAAAATTTTACTGGTGTCATGTGTTCAGGTCATGATGGCAGATAGATTTGAATGTTTTGAGATGTTCAAAAGTGTGAAATATCATTTAAGGTGCTTAGATTTCAGATATTTTTGAAAAATTTATTTGCTTCTGATTATGCAAAGCAATACAGAATAAAGCAGTGGACTTGTGGGTAAAGAGTCTGTGCTGCTCAAATTAGGCATTGTGAGTTCAGGATGTCAGACTCCTAATGTGCATGTTCTGAGCATATAGATAAAATGTTATGTCTAGCATCTTTATTCATTAACACATTTATTTTGAAAAATTTCAGCAAAGTTTACCATCATTTAAGAATTTTACAAACATTTTATTTTTTCCCACTTTTCACCACTTTGGTCCATGTTTATGGAAAACCAGTCTAATTTTTGTAAATATCAATTTGCACAAGTGCTTTAACACTAGACTAGGAAGATGACTCAAAAGTGACATATTTAAGTATCTCAGTGGAACAAAATTATGTAGGCCGGAACTAGTGATCTTGTAATACATTGTATTGTGTATTAATCATAGGACTTTTTATAATATATATGTGTTAATATGTCATTTGTAAAATTTGTAAATGGCCAAAGGCATAATTTTATGTACATTTATGAATTTGTAATTGCTAATAGAATGAAAATAATTTTGTATAGTATTTCTCTGTTGGGTTAAAATTATAAACCATTTTGACACTGAGAATTTCATTTGGCCACTCCCTGAGAAAGACCTCATTATTTCAGGCACAAGTAGAACTACTGGCCTTCCATAAACTTGTTGGTTAGCTTCCTCAAATGAATTATTTTGTTACAAGTCTTTTCTTACAGATTGAAAGACTTTTGGCACCTTTTCGAAAGAATCTAAACGGCAAGTAAGATTTGAACCCACATTGATGAGAGGCATCAATTCTAAATCAAAACCTTACCATAGTATATTGCCTTGAAGGATTCAAAAATGTTAAACATTCATTTATATTTATATATGTTAAACATTCTATTGAATTGTGTATGTTAAACATTCGTTAGTATTTGTATGATGTGTATATTTCAGCTATGTGTTTAGACTAAGTTGTACACGTCTAGGACAATGGGCGATAGGCTATGTGACATCAGACGGACACATTTTACAGACAATCCCACAGAATAAATCACTGTGTCAAGCCTTACTGGATGGACAGAGAGAAGGATTGTAAGATATTTTGTTTCTTTATCATTCTTATATTATATATTATTTTATTCTGCAAGTTGTGCAGTACACTCGCATCCAGTTAAAACGCTCATGTTGGGATCTACAGTCTCAACTCGCGATACATTGTTGGATACCCACGGTTGATTAACATGTAACATAACATGTAATCAAGTGATAAATCTTAATGGTTCGGCTGTGGGTATCTGACTATGCTCCCGATATAAATGGGGTTATGATATATAAAGCTCATCTTGAGATAGGATTGTTACCCCACCAAGACCATTGAGTGTTATAATAAGGTTTAAGGTTATAATGGGGTGGAGGTTAAACAGGATAACGGTTTGAACTGTATATAAGGTGAAAATACACGTTATCCGAAACTCGGCAACTAAGGTTATCCCGCCACTAACAACTTATACTGATAGAGAAAATTTCACGGTGTACATTAAAAAATATGTAGCATGGTAAGGATTAATAAAATGTTCTGCTATTAGCTAAGATTATCAATCATTCATTTCCTTGAATGCAGCTGTCACATATGGTTGTTACCTTCTTAATCTTGATTACATTGACCTGCGGCAAATTGTCACACGATTATGGCATAAAAAATGTAATGAAAAGGAAAGCATTTGTGACAGATTTTCTGTTCTAATAAGGAGAGATTATGTCATGATGTAAGTAAAGGGGAGTTGTCTTCGTCATTTATGAGAAAAATATAAATACACATGTAACAAGTATAGTCTTGACCCAGTTGATCCATTTGAAGGCTTTTATGTTGTTTAGTTAGAATTTTCTTCCCTTAATTCAGTTTCTAGATGTAACAGTCATAGTAGATCAATCAATAAATCAATCAATCAATCAGTCAATTAATCAATTAAGCAAGCCATTAAAAATTTTATTGTTTGTTCTTTCAGTTTTTTTACTCTCAGGTGGAAGATCAATCAGTCATCAAAGTACTGTATTGTTTTAGTTCCTTAATCTTAGGTGGATGATCATTTAAAATTGAAATGAAGATATCAATAAAATACAGTGTTTTTTTCCAGTTTTATTAATCTCAGGTGGGGAATCAATTAATCTAGTCATCAGTACACTGTATTGTTTGTTGTTTCAGTTTTTTGTACCCAGATGGAAGATCAATCAATCAAGTCATCAGTTTGTTTGTATTGTTTGTTGTTTCAGTTTTTTGTACCCAGATGGAAGATCAATCAATCAAGTCATCAGTACACTGTATTGTTTTGTTGTTTCAGTTTTTTGTACCCAGATGGACGATCAATCAATCCAGATCTGAGTTATCTGGTACAGGACTCGCAGGAGGATCATATCAAGGTGACACAGGAACAGTATGAACTGTACTGCGAGATGGGCTCAACATTTCAGCTGTGTAAAATATGCGCGGAGAATGACAAAGATATCAAAATAGAACCTTGCGGTCACTTACTATGTACACCTTGTTTGACACAGTGGCAGGTACAGTCCTTTAAGAATTCTTTGAATTATGATGATAAATATGTTATATTATACAGTGCTGTTGTTTGTAACATGTTTACGTTTAGTTATTGCTAAAAGGCAGATTTATAAACGGTTTGATTTTGAAAAAAAAAACATGTTATGTTAAAGAAAGCCTCCTGATCTTAATACTAGAGCCTTATTTTACCGTAAAAGATACTTAGAATGTAAGTTATAAGGCTTATATCACAAAATAAAGTGGAATTATATAAATTTATTACCTAGTGGATGTAAGGGATGCATATATGAATACTGTTCAGCTGGATCCAGTGTTGTAATTAGTGCCACCTATGCTCATTATTATTCTATAAGATGTCTATGGTGTCTTTGACAAACTTTAAGAAAGATGATGATTTTACATACAGTACAGTCTGTGTTACCATTATTGTAAAAAAAATCTTGCTTGTAACACAAAGCAATTAAGAAGCAATTTTTCATGGTGCTACTTTTTCAAGTGGGAGTTTTTTGCAATTTTTAAACTTTAATCCTTTGCAACCAAATCTGATAAGCCTTTGCCACCAGAATAGAACCAGGCCAGCCTGCTTATGGGCCTTAATGCTGTTGTCTGATTAACTTTAAATTTTGTAATGATATCCCCAAACTTGCTAACAAACAGTTCCAAGTTTTTTTGCAATTGTAAACTTTACTCTTGCAACCAAATTTCATAAGCCTTTGCCACCAGTAAAGAGCCAGGCCAGCCTGCTTATGGCCCTTAATGCTGTTGGCTGATTAACTTGATATTTTGGTAATGTTATCCCCAAAGTTGCTAACAGACAGTTCCAAAAATGGAAGCTGGATATGTCCTTTTAAGACAGTCAGCAGGATATTGGTTTATTAAAAGTACATTTCATCAACATTTCTTTAAAATTACAGGACTCTGAGGGTCAGGGCTGTCCATTTTGTCGGTGTGAGATTAAGGGGACAGAATCTGTCGTCGTCGACCCGTTTGATCCTCGTTTAACGTCGAGTCGACTGGACTGTAGCAACATCACCACCAGTAATAATACACATACAACCACAGAACCTGATGAAGGGGAGGAAACTGAGACAACAAAGTACTCTCCCTTTGATTCACCAAACTTACGCCGTCACGATCTTCCACCTCCTGTTCCTCCGCGGAGAGTCTCACCAAATCCGTCTCCCAATGTTTCTCCGACAACTTCCCCCAAGCTTCCAAGGTAAGTTAATATTTCTTTATATACATGTATTGTATATACAATGTATTATAAAGATGATATAATTTTAACAGATGAGATATAATAAAGACTGGCTACATTTTTGTTCATTCACATTCATCATGTTTCATAATACATTTATAAAATGCAGGGAAATACATATTGCAAATGAATTGACTAAATATTAGTTGATAATCAGCGTGACAAAAAATGAGAATTTTAAATTTGTTCATGAATATACAGTAAAACTTGATTATAATGAACATGTAGGGACCATGACCATTGTATGCTATATGCCATAGTTCCTAAACTACTTTTGGGACACTTTTCATAGGTGGTCACTGAGATCAGCAAGCAAACTGTATCTTTAATTTACATAGTGACATACAACCTTGATTACCAATATTTACAACTTGCAAATATTATAAAATCTCAAAAATAAGACAAATTGTCAATAATAATCTGTTGTTTATCCATCTTTTATAAAAGTTATAAGGGTCGGTTATTCAATCAGTCACAGAACAGCATAAGACAATGTTAAGTGTGGACTTTTTGCAATTTCCTTTGGTAAAAATAGCTTAAACATTGGCCGATTCCTGAAAACTTGAATACCTCTTATTCAGGGGTAATTTTCATGGTACATTGTATCTAGGAATTCAATTTATGTTGACTAGTTTTTTGACACCTTCAGCAAGCAAGCCACAAGGGGTAACTAATAAATCTTCTTAAAGATATAAATTATTGCTGTTAATTGGGAGGGAGGGCACACATATTAACCAATCAAAGGATTAAAGTCACAATGTACCAGCTACATAGAAGATTATTTTAGATTTCTGTTTTAATGGGGACAGTAATCATCTCGGGGACAACTCTTGTGACAGACAGCTGATTTCTGGGACAGTCATATTTTTGTGCTATTCTTAGGCCGATTTTAGTGAAAAGCATTGCAACGCTTTTAAAATTTAGGTCATTTTTCAACATTAGAATTATTATTCTGAAAAAACTGAGTGAGCGAATGATCTGAAATTTTGTACACAAGTTATAGTCAACTGTCTAGACCTACATCAAATCGAACATGAATCTCAAAAACTTATTTCCATCCTAGTTATGTCAAAGAACCTCAGTGGAGTCATTTAAACTTAACCATGATTCAGATATGAGGTGAAAATTTTATTTCAATTTGAAACTATTTCAGGCGTCAGTTGCCACCAGCTCCAGCATTTGCCGATAAACAAGATCAGATAACGGGACAAATTTCTCCGTCAGTACAACAGCAGAAACCTGTAGAGAAACAATCAGATACTGGTATGTAACAAAGCCTCTCATTGGTCAATTATTTATATTCTGGCTGTTGATTGGTTGGGGAGGCTCCTACTTTATCATAAAATATTGACATAACTCTAGAAATAAAAGAATGTAGATTTGCTAGAATGATCATAAATTCTGTATTTCATCATATAACATATTACAAGAACTTTTCTTTTTCACTTTAATTTTATTTCATGTAACTTGGTAAAAGATGGAAAAATATAAAGCACAGAAAGGAAGATTTTGATATCAATAATTGTATTTTTTTCCATATTTTTCGCTCTTGTGTCTATTGTTTATTAATGAGGAACATTCTCTATTATGTCTTCTTTGGCATTAAATCAGTGACATTGAAATAGCAAAATTATTATCAGCACATAATGGTAGCATAAGATATATAACAGGAAAAATTTTGAGATAATTGCCACCATGATAGCATTGGGGGTTTCTTTATAATTGCACAGAATACTGTTAGTAAAGAACCCTACATGTGCTACAAAGAATAAATTTGTATATTGTTTTTGTTAATATTAATATTTCAGATTGTTTTCAAAATTTTGCCTATATTTTAAGACAGTGCCTGTTTTATGTTTTCTTTTATTTATCTTTTTCATCATTGTTCTTTATTTTGTGCTTACCACAGCTGTATTATATGACAATGTTACCTAAGCTTTCAAATCATCACATGTATAAAAAATAAGTCCTTAATTCCTATAACATATTTAACAATACCACTTACTCACTTTGTGTCTTGTTTCTTTTAATCGGGCCTACATGCACTTATTTTTACTGCTACATGTATGTATGTTATATAATAATTATATATATCGTTTAAAAATACCAGTATTTAATTTGTTTCTGCCTTAATGAATTTATGTTGGGTTTAAGGTTTTTTACTTGCAAACTTGCAATGGGCAGTATTGCTTATATAAACTGGCTTTGCTAATTCAAATGTACTTTTTCCAATCAACGATATATACAATCAGCTTCTAAGCTAAAATCTGACCATTTCATATGCAAAGTTGTGTACTATTTACTATATTATTCCAAGATAGATTCAAGATAGGTTGACTTTTTTCACAGCTCAGGCTGTATTAATAAAGACAAAAAAAATTACATAGCCATAGTTATTTCTGAACTCAAACCCTGTATAATTTCCTCACAAGACCTGTTTTAATTTTACACATGACCGGTATTGTTTACATTAAAAGCATGTATTATTTCCACACATATATAACTTCTATACAAGACCTGTATTACTTCGGTACTAGACATGTGTTTCTTCCATACAAGAACCAAGACCTGCATTACTTCCGTACTAGACATGTGTTACTTTCATACAAGACCTGTTTTACTTCCATACAAGACTTGTATTATTTCCATACATTTATTATTTCCATACAAGACACTCCTTAATTTTGTTTCCATAATTTATTATGCAAGACCAGAATTGTGTCCACACCAACCAGGGTCTGTTATACAATTTGAATTATTACTATTTGCTTAGCCATGGCTATATATTTACGATGACAGTCTGGTGATATATAGTTTTTAATGTCTGAATATTAATAAACTGTAACCTCAAAACCTGCTTTTTGCAATTCATTGGAGATCTTTTGTTTCTTAATGAAATTGAAAAAGGAGCATTTTTTTTCCTGAATGAAAGGGAAATTATGGCTACAGCTCTATTGTGTTTTCATAACCAGGGTCATATATGTGTGTTCAGTCACTTTCACTCTTATACTGTACTATAAATAGATCACTGCCTACACCTATAACCTACTGTTTACTCTTGTATCCTCATTTATATTTGCTTGTATAGGAGTATCATATGCAGAGCTTCGTTACGAAGTGCCAAACATTAGTACGAAACCAGAGCGCATGGAGACCGCGTACAGTGCCCCGCCCCCGGGCGTTCACCCCGTCAATCCTTCTGAACACTCACAAGCACATACATCAAACATGCAAGGAGGTGAGCTCGCTGAAATATTGTTGTCATCGTGTTGCCTTAGAATCCGTTACTTAACAACCAATGTCTTGTCTGCCAGGTGGAATGACAAAATATATTACGCTCTTACTGGAGTTTTCGCACTTGCATGTTTTTGCTTTCACGTAGAGGGTTTTAGATTTGCTGTGGATTTATACTTAATATATGTAGATATTTAGGTCGGATGATTTTAAATTTGGTATGTTCGTATCATTTTCACTTTTTTTGTTGGAGTCATATTGAAAATTTGATGATTTAGTCTCCATTGTTAATTCATGTAATTTTTTTCTCCTCAAAAGATGATTATTTTTTTTCAAAAAAGATTAATATTTAACTATACAACATAAATGTATGAACTGTATTTCAAACAGTGTTTTAACCAATCTTGTTTAACCCTGAACCATATTTGTACTGAAGAAGACTGTATAGTCAAAACATGTATACAATGATATTATAAAAAAAATATTACTGATAAATTCTAATGGAGTTGTCTTAATTATTTATCATTATTTGTTTAACCGTAATAACATAATGTTAAATGTATATTCAAGTCCTAGTTGCATTTCACCCTAAAACTTTATAAGATTTAAAATTATTTTGTTCAATCTGATATTTCATTTATTGAACTTATAAATTTAAAAGAGCAGAAATATAGATTTTGTTTTACAAAATTTCCTGTTAAGTGGTAGGGGATTTTATTTCAATAGGACATACTTCCTGAATAGTTTAATCAAGGCTAGAGGGTGTGGATTTTTTATTGTCTTTACTAACATTGTCATGATTAACATTATCATTGTTGTCTGTCTTATACATTTTATGCTTCCCAAAAAGTCCCTGAGGCTAAAAATAGATTATTATTTTTCTTTTTTTCGTCATAGAACCTTCATCTACTGCAGTATTGACTTAATATCTTAGAAAAGTTTTTGCCAAATGACTAAAGTAGGACTGTTGGGAGTTTTTTTTCTGTGCATTTTACATAATAATGATTCTCATTTTGTTGACCATAAGTCCAACCTCTAAATTATCTTTGTTTCCTGTCCCAAAACAATGCCAATTTAGGCAGGCTAGGTAGGAAGATAAAATATTTTTTGATATTGAAAACATTTTTGTATTGTTGAACATCATTATAAATTATATGTGAAATACATGGATTTCAAAGAAAATAAATGTTTAGCATCTGTTTAAAATAGGGAACCAAAAAAATGTTTGGGTAGCTTTGATTTTTGTGGGTTGGTAGCAGAAGGGGATACATAAATTTTTTTATTTTATGCCTATTTTAAACCTTAGTCTGCTGGAACCAAAAGTGATAAGCCGTTGCCACATCTGCCGATCTGACCAGGCTCTATATTGTTGGCTGTCAAACTTTAAATTTTCATCTTGATATCCCCAAAAATTATAATGGACAGTTCCAAAAATGGAAGCTGGACAAGTCCATTTAAGAAATTCAGCAGGTTATGGGTTAATAGCTTTTGAATATATGATTTCTTATACCAGTTAGTCAGTATTTGACCTTGTACTGATGACAAAGGTCAAGCATGTATACATTGTCAGATCAGACCATATATACTGTAAAATCATTATTTTTCGTGGGGCATGAATTTTCGTGGTTTTTGTAGGTAAGTCAATCCACGAATTTAAGATCCAACGAAATTTTATCCCAAAAAGTATTTCTTACCATGCCTCTATTCTAGATATTACAAACATGATATAAATTTTGGAGGTTTGTGCTACATTTGTGCTGCTGTGTAAGTGCCGCAGATTCAGAATGGAACCCAGAGTTATATATTTAACATCAATACATATAACTGAAATGTTATATGTTAAATTATTTAACATCAATACATATAACTGAAATGTTATATGTTAAATTATTTGACATCAATACACATAACTGAAATGTTATATATTTGACATTCATTATACTGACAATTTTAAGGCTGCATGCCTCCAGATAAGCCAAATATTTCAAGAAAATCAACCTTAAAAAAAATGTGCTAAAATTTTAAGAGAAGTAAAAATATTCACTGTTCAAGAAAAAAACCTGTATGCAAAAATGGCTGATTTTGCTTTATCACCACATTTCTAGTGCATGACTAATACAGTAAAGGCTATTTTTGTAAATTCTGACCTATTTTTTTGCAATTTTTATAGATTTTATGTGCTTTTTCCAATTTGTAAATTACTCTCTTTGTTCATATCACAATATTTTTACTTTTTAAACTAGCATGAATCCGGAGGCATGCTGCTTTAACCTTTCATCCCATACTAATAGTAGAAAAAGCCAAAATATTAACAAAGACATTGGTTTTGTATTGTTTTGCTGGACAATGATCCTTGTTTTAATCTATGTTGTTGTTGTTGTTATTTGTGCTTAGCAGCTTCCACCATAACTTGCTTATAGAAAATGCCAACTTACCTTATACATGTACATTGTATTGTATTACTTTAATCACAGATTGAAGAAAGGTTTACTTTTGAATAGTTCACTCTACCTATCTTGCATGAATTTTTACATAATTGTGTGAATTTTGGTGTAGGGTTGTAATGGTTTTGATATGTTTTCATTTTTTTGGAAACCTGTACTCACTTAACATTATGCTTAGTAAGCTAGCATTTTGAGGTTTTTCTCACCAATTTCTACAGGATTATGTATCTATCTTAGATTAAAAATAAAATGATATATTGCTTTTATTTTGTATATTGTTTGTATATACAGCTAATTTTTAGATTTGCATGCCTTTTCAGTATGTTTTATATTGTAGTGTAATTTGTAAGGGTAATTTGTTCAAGTATATTGCCTGATTATAACAGGTATTAAGACTCTGAAATTTTATTTCAACTGTAAAGGAAGTAAATTTTACTATCTGTTTATTATATTCATATCATGTTTCCCATATAGAACATTTACATACAGGATCTTACACAAGTTGTCATTTCAAATAGGCCATACATTTATCATGTTTTGGTAGGCAATATAAAGTGAGCCTGTAATATTTCTGGGTGACAATTTAAAACACTAACCACCCTAAATATCTGAAATGGACTTTTCCATCTTTAAAATTGAGCCGTGTCACGACAAAACCAACATAGTGGGTTTGCGACCAGCATGGATCCAGACCAGCCTGCGCATCCCCGCAGTCTGATCAGGATCCATGCTGTTCGCTATCAGTTTCTCTACTTGTAATAGGGTTTGTAAGCAAACAGCATGGATCCTGATCAGACTGTGCGGATGCGCAGGTTGGTCTGGATCCATGCTAGTCGCAAACACACTATGTTGGTTTTGTCATGGCGCGGCTCAAGTGTGGATATACCTATTCATCAATTTTAGGGAAAATTTCAAAATGTTTACTAAATAGCAAACAGTGCAGAACATGTTCAGATGGCACAAATCTGATCTTGGGCTGGACTGGTTGCACGGTTAGTATAACCATTTTTTGCCTGTTGTCTGAGAGTTGATGCAGGTCTATGTAAAATAAAACAAATGTAAGATTCATTTATCACATACCATGCAGCTTTTGTGACTCTGTAAAAATGGTATTGCACAACCGTGCATATATTTTGAAATGAAGTCATTTGTTGTAAGGGTGCACTAAATGTTAGTCTTACTCTATGGGCTTGACAGCGAAAAATGATTCTTTTTCACTTTAAACAGTCTTTATATTTTGGGTTTGTGATAAAAAGAATATTGTATTCATGTAGAAATTTATTGAACTCGTTTTATTGCAAGAGGCTTGTATTATATAGTTATATTCAACTCGTTCAATAATTTCACTATTAAACCTACTCATTCAATATCTCTATTTATTACATGATTTTATTAAGCCTTGAAAACAACTCAAATATTAATGGCTAAATCATAATTTATTTGGTAATTTTTAGCTGGTCTGTTGCAAAATAAATATTCAGGTATTTCGATCACAGTTGTCGTCGTTGTGCAAAAATCTTATGTAGTTCATTTAAACTCAAAAAATTCAACATGAAACTTGGGATACTTGCTTATCATAACAATATGCAGTTATAAGATAGGGGGCATTATTGTGAAATTTATGTCTCCTATTAACTGAAGTGTTTAATTGGTTATTGATAGAAAATTTATAAATCTATCAAAGATATTGTTCTCATTCTTAACATGCTTGATGAAAGATGTATTAAGATATAAGAAAAAGAAATATATATTAATGATTTAGGCTACATTGTATTAAAAAACAAGGGATATTTTGTGATAAAATCTGACCAGAACTTCTTGGAGGGAATTGGCCTTTAGTTGACTTACAATTTTGTGTTGTAAGATAATTTCAGGTTATCAGTCAGATGATTGTTAGAATAATCATTCTTTAATTATGAGCCGCATCACACAAAATCAACATAATGGGTTTGCGACCAGCATGGATCCAGACCAGCCTGCGCATCTGCGCAGTCTGATCAGGATCCATGCTGTTCCCTATCAGTTTCTCTACTTTTTGTAGAGTATGTAAGCGAACAGCATGGATCCTGATCAGACTGAGCGGATGCTTTGAATCAATGTTACTATCTCTGTATAAGATAATGTTTGAAAAGAATAAGGAAAATTTCATGCATAATCAGAAATAGATTTATAGTGGTAGACTGTGTGAGCTGGAAGCTAGTGCAGTTATCTGCCAGTTACTGCTTCTGCTTGGCTTGCTTTATCTTGTATCTCTACACTGTTTTTACAGGGACTATTTTCTCTGTGACAGGAAACACCAAGCCACCTATGTACCGTGTACCCAGTGAGTATGATGTACCCCCGCTTCCAGCTCCAAGAGGGCGTAATACACCAACGTTAGACACAAAGTAAGAACTACTTTATCTATTTATGTACTTAATTATTACACCTTCACTGCATAATGAAGGATTTTCTTTAGAGTTGTATGAAATGTTCACCTCACCAAGGCAATGTTAAGAACCTTTGCAGCTGCTGTGACAGCTCAAGGTCAAGGTCACCGTGGAAGGTCATAGACAGTTACAATGTCATGTCTGTGCTATAAATATTATACTCATTGAAAGACTTACTTAAAACTTGGCTTAAATATTCACCTTAACAAGATATGTGCAGAACCCGTGCCAATGTTGTGTTAGCTCAAGGTCACCCTTGAAGGTCACATGTCAGTTCAATTTGTGTCCACTGTATTATTTAATCCAATACCCCTTGGAGTTATTTCTGATGTTCACCTCAATAAAGTGTTGTGGGGTGCTGGCTCAAGGTCAGCCTTGAAGGTCATTGATGGGTCAAGTTCAAATGCGTAGGAATATAATCATCATGGTCCACCCACCTTCATAATTTAATACAAAGCATTTGAATGATGAATTGTACATAATTGTACTACATTCCAAAAAAAATATCTGTTATAATTCTAACATGATAATAAAAAATGAAATAAAAAAAATGTTATACTACATTGAGGGGAGCTTGTGAAATAATATGTCATAAAGGTTTGAAAACATAAATAAAATACTACTACATGTATATCATTATGCATGCACTCATTAAGAAAAAGCAAAGGAAGTGAAGGAGGTGCTTTTGATATATGGCCAATGTGTACTTTTTCGGATAATGTAACAAGACACCAAAAACAAATGAGGAAAAACCAAGAACATTTTCGGGAATTTATAGACCTTTAAGCTTACATCATTTCACTGAAAGTAATGAGTTATTTAAAGCATTTTGGTCTTTTTGAAAGCATTTGTACATGGGTACAAGTTTTCATGCATTTGCACGAAGTTTAGGTTTTGAAAACTCCTGAAAGCACTATATAAAACCAGTGAAAATAATGCTAAATTCATGTTTTGCTAATACATGTTTAACTTGCACCCATGTTTTTAACAGTATAAATTATTTTCGTATATTTATCTTGTAGAAGCCCTGATGCAAGCAGTTCAACAGACATACCATTGCCGGCTAGGCGCGAGAGATTACGAGAAAATCACGATGTAAATAAAGAAAACAGTATATTAGACAGTATTAATGAAGAACACGTAGAAGCCCTAGTTGGTAAAGGATATAATCGACTAAAAGTCGTTGAAGCGTTACGAGTTGCTAAAAATAACATGGCAATGGCAGAGGAGATTTTAGAGACGTTTGTAAAACAGACTTAGCGTAGAAGGCTCAAAAAATAAAAATTGTGCTATAGTATATAATTGATATCTATTTTCTTATATAAGATTTTTTTTATATATATAAAAGTGCTGGATCCACCAATTTTTTTTTCTTTTTTTGAGGTATACCAGCCATTTTGTCGATCATTGTCTATTGTATAGAATCATGTACTAAAAACATTAACATTCTTTTTTGTATTTTCTTCTTTAGGCTTTTTGACAAACTTTGACATACAGTATCTTACAATATAGGCAATAACCTATCGTCTGTATATAAAATGACAAAAATATTTTAATGGATGTGCTGGAAAATGTGAACAAAGGTAGTCGTTTCCTAATTTTGATCTGTTTGGATGAAACAAGAAGAATTCTAGTAACTGAGGCATTTGATAGTTATGCATTTATAAGAAAAAAGTGTTCTGTACTTAGTTTTGTAAATGCAATAATTTTAGAACAGTTGTGAGTCTTATGGAATGACCGAATGAGCTACCAACAAGCTGGCAGTAATGGAACTTGAATTGTCGTGTTTCAACTCAGTACAGTTTCATATGTATAAATTGTACTAAAAAGTGTAACAGACGCAAAACAATTGGTTATAAAAGTAGTAATTTGATTATATAGATCGGTAATGAAACTAATGTATATAATTTTGTATTGCTTTTACATGAAAAAAAAAATGACCATACAAAGTTGTACTCACTTCAAGTTTTGAACAATATTTGTTAACATTTTCTAACACATTTCTTTACATGAGTCATTCCTCATTTCATATGAACAGTTTTTTTTTTTTTTTACCAATTAGTTACTTCTTGCAATAGGTGAACACATTTAAGTTTCATTCATTTTTGCTGGCTATCAGAATTTTTAAGAAAAAATAAGAGTGTTTTAACTTGGTATCTTGAATTAAAGTTTCTAACTTTTTAAGGTATGAAAAATTAAAACATTGCAGGGAGGAAATGCATCACTTTACCAACTACTCTTAGTAAATCTTTTTTCTAGACATACATAGAAAGGAAATGTATAAAGTTTTCATTATGCATTTATTAAATCTATTTTCTAAGAAGGAAATGCATAAAGTTTACTAGTTTGAAAATTCAATATAAAATTATTTTTTTACTAGACTACATAGAAAGGAAATGCCAAACATTTTCCTCCTTGCCAAAATAAACACAGGACTTTGCAGGTCTGTCTTTGAGCAATGCTGTCAACACAAAAACGCAGAAAAAGTTTTCCATGTAAATACTCTCATGTGTAGGCCATCATGTTAGCTAACATTGACAAGATTGATTGAAATATGGACTGATTTTTAAAAAAGCCCTGAAAATAAACAAACTTGAACAGTTGTTTAATCTACTGACCCACTCATGGTCGTTTTAATACAAAAAAAAAAACAACAACATAAATATGAAATAACAGCACAGATGTATATATCTAGATGAAACTGGATGGTAAATTTTTTCACACTCTCAGGAATATGAGCTTATTGCAAGTGTCACACTTTATCCTACAGTGTCTTCATTTTTTTCTGAGGCAAAAGATATTCCAACAAAAAAAAACAACAGTTTGGCCAAGGGTCAAGGGGGATAATTTAATCTACAGGCTGAAAATAAATGGATTTTGACAGCATTTCAACCGACGATATGGATTGCCAATCTGTTAATAATGAAAACCCTGTATCATGTTATAATGTTTACACCATTGCTTCAAGATATTTTGTCAACAATGGTCTTAAATAAGAACTTCAAGCGGCATTCTTTTTAGATGCGACTATACTGTTATCTGGGCACCTAAAAATCAAGATTGCATTATAATAGAACTATATCATTAAGCTTTCGTCACTTGTATCAAGTGATAAGAGCAAGATTTGTGCTGGAAGTAAAGTAATTGCACTTTATATTCTAAGTTTCATGCTCATGCACGTTCACCGACTTTACAGCTATTACCCCTGGTCATCGGGCTACTGGTATCTATCTATCAATCTCCCTGGGGAGTCTTTTAACTCCGCTTAGTGCAGCCGACACTTTGGCGCAACGGAATTATACCACCCTCGCAGGTACCCATTTACACGTGGTTGAAGTGAAGCAATCGCAGGTAAATTTCTTGCTCAAGGAAATTAGCAGTGCCCCTGGTGGGGTTCAAACCCGGGACCTCTCGATCCCTAAGCGTGCGTCCTACCACTGGACTACTGCTCCTGTTACATCTTTCCATGTACATGTAATCCTGTATTTAAAACAAAGAATAAGCTTGATAATCCCTCTTTTTTTTAAAAAGTAATCAAATGTTTCTAGCAAAGTTTATAAAAGATACATCATGATAATAACTATCTGTAAAATACAGGTGATTTTCTTCTGAAAGTTTTCAAATTTTTATGACATCAGAAACCATCATGAGTGGGTTTTGAAGCTTAGAATATCTACAGCATATTTTATCACTCCATTTTCATTCTTATTATTGAAGTATAACAAAGCAAAATTTTGATTTCATTTAATATTTTCACAATTTTTTTTTTTATTTTATATCAAACATGAAAAAGTACTCATTTTGTATAGACTTGTATCATTATTTTTTTTTTCTTTGTCATTTTTGTGTTTTTTTTCGCCCTCCCCTTAAAATTTATTGTTTTGATTCTGTTGATCAGAATAAAGAATTCTATATGTGATATCATTATCTTATTGATGTATACATGTTCAACTTTATTAACTTATTTCATGTGCTATTTTCTAGAGATCTTTGACCCGCGTTTTGTACGCCCATGTACGATTTCTTTTGTAAAATATTTTTTCTTTATTTTTTCTTTGTCTAGTGCTGTGTATAGATGGGGTTTTTTTTCTTTGTGTTATTACATGTTACATCTTTCCATGTATATAATTGTACTACTTTACTGGATATGTTTTTTTGTATGTTTTGTTTTTTGCTGTGAAAAATGATTAAAAATATTTTGGTGCTTTTAGGGTACAGTATAATAAGGCCAAAACACTTTTTTTATTTTGAGTGAATAATTATTGTATTCTAACTAAGTGTATTGAACAGATATCAGATAGAGAAACTTTACCAGTTTATAAAGTATTGCCTTCTAATTTTGCAACAGAAAACTTTTTTTTTTTTAAGAAAAATTTAACACCAATAAGCATTTGATTGTATCAATATTCTTTATAGGGAGAATGAAGTTCTTACTACATATCCTTTGTATCTACTGTAATGTTTTTCAAACCAGTTAACAGAAAAATGTAATTCATTTCTTTAAGGCCTAAGTCATAGTTTTGAATCCCTTGCAAGATCTATTAGCTTTTATAGAACATTGTTTCACTGTTAATTTACATTGACTGTCCAATTTTCGGTCACTGATGTAAAATAGTCTCTGAAAATTATTTTCCTTAAAAAAAAAACATAACAAATACCAGTTAATAATTTAGGATTGATATACAGGCTCATTGGTGACCTAAAAATTCTGTACAAAAAAGATTCTTGAATTTCGATCAGAATTTAAATTCTAATGTATCCCTCTTCCACTGTTGCCATGACAATTTTGTTAGATAAAATGATTAAACACTCATTTATTTGGAGGATTATGCTTTATATGGAAAATTTAAAGCTATTGGGCTTCCAATGTGCAATTTTAAATGTAAAAACTGTATCTTTTGCTTTGTATTTTATCAAAATACTGACCTTTACACTTCTTTGACATGCTTGCTTGCCTGGCTCAATGCCGAGACCCACATGGAAGATCAGGGAACAGAATGCGTAAGCCTCATACAATAAAGTATGTATAAATACCCTATCCCTTTATCCAGTTTCAGAGCTGCTTAATGAGAATTGCACCCAGTAAATGCACATTTTTGAGAATTCTATATATTTATATATATTTCCATGTTGTAATGTTTTACAGTGTGATGTAAATAATCGAAATATGAAAGAGGCGGTCTGGCCCTTCCCACATGTATAAAATAATATATTAAGGCCCTCCTACTTCTTGTACAGATCTGGCCCCTCCCACTACTTGTACAAAATTATCTGGCCCCTTTCATTACATATTCTTATTTGACCAGACCCCTTCTACTGAAAGTACAACATGCTGTGCCCCCACCCACTACATGTGCAAACTAGTGGCCCCTCCCACTGTATTGTACAAAATGGGCCTGATCCCTCCCACTTCTTGTATTAAACCCACTACTTTCCAGTGGTCATCTTATACTATATATATATATATAATAATGTTATGCTGATTTATGAACAATCATATAAACACTTTATGCATACAGTAATTGTTATTGTATAGATTTTTGAGTGACTGGAACACTTTTTCTAAGAGTATATGTAAAAAAATTAAAATTTGTTTATAAAAAATTTGTATTTTCTCTTTACAAGTGTTTTTATTATTATTATTATTATTGAAACAGTTTGTATAAAGGAGAGATTTTTGTTGGGTATTTTTCATAGTTTGTTTCAGAGTTTATTACCCCCTTTATCTGCTGGAATGAAATGTGATAAGCTTTGCCACCAGTGTACGGCTAGGCCAGCTTGCACACCAGTGCAGTCTGACCAGGCTCTACACAGTTGACTGATCAACTTTAAATATTCTTTTCAACATCCCCAAAATTGAAAATGAACTGTCTCTACATTGGAAGCTGGACAAGTCCATTTAAGAAATACAGCAGTGTTAGGGTTTTGTATACATGTATTTGAGAGCAAATGTATAAGGGGGAAAAATGAATCAAAATAATAAGCATCACAACAACCTAGTTCCGTACTTATTTATTTTAATTACGGAATTAAAAATTTATAGGGTCACCTTTTGGCAGATAATAATATTGAAGGACATGAATTGTGATATGTCCAGGGTCTGTACTCTCAGTGCCGGAAAGAGCCGATTGACCCTCATTAAGCCTAGAATACATACATACAAAAACCGCAGAAATAATGCAAACTGTATGAATGGTTGAATTATGAAAAAAAAATATCAGAAACAGAAAAGATATAAAGGTCAAGTATTGAATTTATTAGGGAAGTAAAGTTTATACTTATTTTCATATGTAATAGAAACTGGAAGTTCTAAAGTACATATTAATGTTTTATGTATTATTGTATTTTTTTATAATGCAAGGAAAGAAATTACTGAAATTTTGTGAAACTAAAAACAGCAAAAAATGGTTTTTCCTATTTATGTTTTATATTGCGTTTGAGGCAATGTGACATTGGTTACATTAGAAAAAAAATGAATATCGTTGACCTTTAGCCACTTCAGTTGTATGACTGACCCTCTTGAGTTGACTTTGGAATTGTTAATTATATATTAATGTTCTTTGAAAATTTGGTGTTACAGATCTTATTCCAAATGCAGAAAGTCCTTTTATTGCTTAAGTGATATTTAAGTGCTACATTTATTTCTGAAATAATTTTAATGTTTTGTACTTTTCTCGACTCTATTGGTGCATTATAGTTGACCTTTTAAGTATCTGTTGCTCTGATCATGGACTGCAATGTGGGTGAAAGACATTAGAACTGGAAGAAATACCAGTACGCCACTTGCCTGTCACCGCTGTGGGCTCGAATCCCGACAGGGACTTTGGATTCTTTCATGTGAGGAAGCTATCCAGCTAGCTTATGGAACCTCGTGGTTCTACTCAGGTGCCCATTCGTTCCTGAAATAATGCACGGAAGGGCGTCTTAGGTTTTCCTCAACCAGTAAAGCCGGAACGTTACCATATGATCTATACGGTGTTGGTGTGACGTAAAACCCAATGAACAAACAAATACCAGTACTGGAACTATTACCAGTACTGAACTGCTAATTCACATACATGTACTTGCTTATACCACTGAATTAGATTACAGTTTGTGGTTTAATCTGGTAAATCTGTGATATTAACTAATACCCTGCTGGAACCCAAAGTGATTCCCAATTGCCACCAGTATAGAGCCAGGCCAGCCTGCACAACCAGGTTCAATACTGTTGTTTTACTATTTAATATTAGACAGTTCCAAAAATGGAAGCTGGACAAATCCATTTTAGAAATTCAGTGGTTAAAGAAGATCCAACAATGTTGAGAAAGTCTTTGATTAGCTGGTAATGTTATAGAAAAACATGCCTGTCGTAATAGGTCAAGCATGCCAGGACAGATAATGATGTTATAGTCAACTGTTGATTACTTTTAGTTTGAAAGAAATTGCATTTTTCCCTTGATACCCCTTGATACTTAAAATTATCTCCCTTTTCCGTCTCCTTTCCCCCCCCCCCCCTTCATTGTTTGCTATATCAAAAAATTTGTTCTGTAAATTGTCCACTTTCATAAAATACATGTGAGTATTACTGAATTTGTGTTTCATACATGCCCAGTTTCATGTTGAAACTTTCCAAGTATATATATAGATATATAATAAAACACTTTATGTAAGAGAGCTGAAAGTGTGAATGATTTTACATTGTAAATTATAGTATATAATAATTATAGATAGAAGAATATTTTTTGTTATTGACTATGTAATGTAAGCTTACAATTTCAACAAAAATAAATAATAACAATCATTATTTGTTTTGTTGGTTATTTGGTGTTTTCCCTATGCTTTATTTGAAATAAGATCTATTTGAAAGGGGTATCACTGTAGGTTGTGTGAGCTAAATTGGACTACCTGCGTACTTCATTTGAGGTAAGATCTTTTAGATAGGGCTATCACCATGGGTTGTTTAGCTTTAGATACTAGTATGTTATACCTGGGACTCAATATAACGGATAGGCAACTATATGTACCCACTTGATCAGTAATCTTACGCTGCAATCTATTTGACAGCGGGGCGCTCACTAAGCATAATATTGAAATAATTTATAAATTCTTTTATTATAAAAAAATTACATGGATATACATATGTATTTTGTAACATCCATTTAAATACAGAAGAACAGTAAAAAGTATACAGCTTTATATTTGAAATTTTTAATACTTTATGAAGATTTCTACGTACGATAATTTCCCTTTCAACGTACAATAATTTCCCTTTCACAGTGATCAGCAAGGTGAAAAAGGCGACGCGTGCATAATTAATGATATTTTGACATTAATATCCAGTTGCATATCCCATAATACTGTGTCCCAGGTTATACATTCACAGAGAATATACATTTAGATGCTTGTATTTTGGAGGACTTGGGATTATTGTAAGATCATTATTAGCAGCAAGAAAGGGAAAATAATGTTCCTTCTTGGGTCATACACAAGAGACATCAGTAGTGAGAGATTGCATATTTAGTCTTTATATTTTAAAGTGCCATTTGTTTTGTATGTTATGTAATAGGAGAGGATATCAAAATTTAATTAATTTACACATGTAATGCTAAAGACCTGTAGCTGGTGCAGAGGTTTTGCAGTAACATTAACTAGAAATCCAGGGGTCACCAGCAAAACCAAAAAATGCCAAATCTTTCAGACGAGACTAAAAACAATAGACATGTGAAATGATGCTTAATGCCTTAAACAAGAACCAGTTGTTTCCTTGAATAAAGTAGATTCTTTATCCAGAAATTGAATTTCCAAAACAGTCTTTTGGGAGTGAGCTGCAGGTATGGGTATAGATTAAGGTACATGTATATTGTTATCAAAAGACATATTAACAAGAATATGCTGGTTATTTGAATGAAACTGGTTGTATTTTACTAAACTACTTAGACCACTGCAAATATTCCTGGGTATTTATTTTATCAAAACAATGATATAAAAGTGTGTAGAGTGGGAGACAATCACCCAGCAAGCACTTGTTGAAGGCTCAACTTTACCAGGCACATGGTTTGTTAAATCCCATTATACCCTTGAAACGCTTATATTTCACAAAAGCTTCTTTATTTCCATAAGGTTACTCATTGAGCAATAAACTAAACCATCTTTTGCTTATTTTGCCATTTAGCAATTTGAACAGTTAAAGCAATTTGGTATTTTGTATTGAAGTCAAAATACTACTTTATTCACATTTTGCTACTTTATGACAAATGAAATATAATTTCACATTCAGCCCTATTTTCTTTCCGTGATAAGCATCAAATATTCTTGTCAACCATTATTTAAATGTTAAAAAACACTCTTATGTTGCTCTTTTTAGGGAAGGAAAAATTTACTCGTTTCTGAGGCCTGAGTAGAAATGTCTGATATTATACATATTGTCACTAATAAGTTAAGACAATTACATGCTAACTATTATTTCATTTTATTATAATGGGAAATTATATGTCTTTATGAAATTTAAGTATATTGCTAGCTGGCAAAAGATTGTCAATGTCAAATCTGAAGCAAATGTTATCAATTAAAATTGACAGTGTGATCCCTTGGAAAAAGAAATGAAAACATAAAACATCACACAATCTTTTATCCGTTTATTGTTATCTTAAAAATAATTATATGCACTCTGTAAAAAGGTTATTAAAAAGTCCTTGGATTTTTTTTACTCTTAAAAATAGCCTCCTTTTCTTCACCTCTTCCATTGAATCAATAAAAACAGTTGCAGATAGAAGAACATGAAGAATTTCTTAAACTGACTTGTCCAGCTTTCATTTTCTAAACTGTCCATCACCAATATTGGGTACTGGTATGTCAAAATGAAACAGCTCTGTTCTGGCAGGGTAACGGTTAAAATACAATTGAATTATCTATGTCTACCTCATGCCTTTTAATTTATTTCTTGAACTTTTAATTTGGAAATGTTACGTTCAGTATCACTGAAGGGATTCAGTAATTACACAATAAATTTAAGCAGGTAACAGTGTCTGTTAAGACTAAAAGCTGACTTAGCTGTATTGTATTGGGTATGCGAATCATGACTTCTCAAAGCATTTCAAGATACATTGTATATCATTCTAACACACTTCACACTATTCCCCTATCTAACAGATAGGGATTCCCCTATCTAACAGATAGGGTTGTCAAGTGCATTATTACATGATATATGCACAGCTAAAAAAAGAAATGCTTACACTTCATATGACGTCATAGATCAATTCTATTTCCCATAAGCATATATAAGAATGGATATAGATATATATTTTGCTTGCTTACAAAGCAGTTTATTGTTTTGTAATTAATCACTAACGCCTATCATCCTTCCTTTTTATATTACTACGCATTTGAACTTAAATCGTGCATTATTCTACAACAATGCACTTAAAATTGATATCTATTTCCTAAACAACTACATGTACTTTTAATATGGATAAAAAGAGAGTGCATTTATATCTTACTAAAAGTTTTTGATTGATATCTGGTCAGAATTAATAGAAAATAGTAACAAATTTTGACTGAGTTTACAGTTGTTGTGGTTTTTAGTTGTGGGAATTCTTGGCACAGTTCTGTTATCTTACATACACTTTTTTGTATTCATGCATCAACAATAACAGGTGCATACTCATCTGGTTCTGTCATAAAGTCCCACTTAAACTTTTTTGTTAAATGTTCGCGAAATTTTCTCCCTCTTTGTCTAAGACTACTATCTCCATTTCCCTCCTCTAAATTTGAAAAGAACTCTTGTAAAGTTGAAGTTAAAAAGTTATTAGCTGACACGATATCAACAAAGAAATCTTCTGGAATTTCATGTACCTGAAAATGAAGCACTGATATTAAATCCATGAACAATTCGCTGTGAGAATTCAATGCAGACTCACTACTGCACATAAGATGTACCAACTTTTTCCATTGGTCGAAAGCATCATACACATGACCAATCAGAAAGCAGATAAAATCAATTTGAATTTCACCAAGAATTTCATTATTGTTTGCTGCATAGGCAGTAGAAAGAAGTGTTTCAAGTATAAATGTGGAGTCAATGCTGTGTTTTGTGATCTCCTGAGGGCTGGCATCTTTTGGATATCTCTGTTTAGGTATCTTTGTGAACCTCATTCCCGTACCAGCAACTTTATTCAGTTTTGGAAGACCTTTATGTTTCTTTGCTTTTGTGTCTGGTGATTGTCCCTGGTAAATACAAATACCACTGGTATAAAACAGATATAAACATAATCTATGGTTACAGAAATTAGAATCTGAGCTTGCTACAGCATCATAACTTTGTCTTATGTTGTATCAGTTATTTAATTTTCATTATTCATACAACAATATTTTTTAAATAACTTGGTAAGCACCTTAAAAGTTTACTGATAGGAGATTTTACAGATCTTTTAATTCCTACATAATACTGTTTAAGATTTACAAATGTAATTTATACGCTCAACCTTAATTGTGAACGGAAAAAGTTTTGCTTATGTAAATCCGTCAGAGGTCTGCATCCTAGAATTTGTTTTGGCCAAGTTTTACAACACAAGTTCACTATAAAAGTGACATAGAAAACTTAATTTGTGGAATAAAACCTCAAGCGCCTCAAATGCATGAATTATTTCTGACACAAGAGAGAAGCTGGATAGATACACCAACCTTCTATAAGCTAGGAGGATGGCTTATTCACTTGAAATGCATGATTCATGTGGGACATGTCATGGTCAGTCTTTTCCAAGACACAGACAGAGTGTCTTATGTCATATTTAAGAAAAGATGGTTCTGACAAAATGTAGAATTTGACCCAATGAACCTTTGCACATTGATTTTTGTTGGTTGAGTTAAATACCAAACTTTTTCTTTCCTATTTTTCAATGACACTGATAAGATTTAGCTTTGTCATTTATAATTTATCAAATCAAAATTTTCACCCTGTATGCATATTGAAACTTATAAATTAAATAGAAAAACCATCAATGGACTTACCTCCTCAGATAATTGCTTCTCTGCAGCCTCGCGCCTCATTTCACTGTTGCTAGACGGTGATTCAAACTGGGTCACTGATGTTATAGTTCCACATTCAGGCTGTAACCTTGACAACAAGTCCTCTGTTATATGATTGGTTAGTGATACCCATTTCTTATAGCTATAAAAAATAATAGAAAAATAATAACAATAAACTATACATTGAGAATTATTTCATGTTTTTATCTTTGATTAAAATTATGATAAATAATAAATTATGTTGGATTCACACAAAATTTGTGTAGGAAATCAATTGCATTCGGCTATGCACTCTAAAATTTCATGATCTTAACAGCCAATTTGGAAACTTGTCTGTTTGTGACAACTTCCCTTAAAGAAAGTTTTAAATTTTCTTATTAATCTAAGACCTGAAAAAATACCTACAAAACTGGATTTCAAATGTTACCAAAAAGCCAAACAGGGATGTGAAAGAGAAAAAAAAGATTTAAAACATAAATACACTGGAAGATTATTTTCGGTTAGTCTGAAACGATAAAACTTTATACACAGTTACTATCAAAATGAATTTGACCTTCCAGCTTAAAAAATAGTTAAAGAGATCCAAAGATGCAAAAACAGCATTATGACACATTATGTTAGGATGGTCAGAGATCTAAACTTTCTATATTAATATACCAAAAGTACCTTTCATAAGGGTAAGGTCCAAGATATTGGTCCAATTCCTTCATATTAGACATAACTCTTTCCTGATCCTCTGGTGAGACAGGTTCTACAGATATATCTAAAAGAATGTAAAATAATTCCAGTATGCCTTTTTATGTTATTTGCATACATTTGTAAATATTTTTTTTTTCATTCAATGTGCTTTTCCTTAAATTAGATACTACATGTAAATCTGGATTGTGATTGAGTATCAGTCAAATGAAACTTGCCCCTAATACTGGCTGTTCTATTTAGAAGATGAAAATAAGTTCATTCAAGCAACAAGGTAAATCACAACTGCCTCTGGTTCCCAAAACCAAATATTCCCCTTTATGTGTGAATTTTCAGAAATAAAAAACTGAAATCCATGTATCCTTTTTTAAACAAAATAAATTTGATTAAACAATTTTGATACTTTTTACCTTCTTTGGTATTTGCCCCCAATTTCTTGAGCGGGAACTTTTTTTCTTTTTTTAAAAGTTATGGAAGAAACCTGTCCTCATTCCACCTAGAGAGCTGCTCCTTGCACTGAAATTGTTAAATATTTCAACAATATTTACTTTTCTAATCATAAAATACAGGGTCATTCAAACAGTATTTGAAAAACCATATAATATAGAATCTAGATATCACTTACAAGGACCCTACTGAGGGCTTTTTAACATGAAGGATGATTAAAACATTAAAACTTTTTCAATACTTGTTTACCATTTGATGTAGGTCTGGACTATTAACTTGTGAGCAAAATATCAGATCTTTCCCTCACTCCCTTTTACCCAGAATATTTTTTTTATTTTGCAAAACGACCAAAAATTATCATTATTATTCACTCAAATGGGATAAAAAAATATTATTATTAACTTAAAAAGTATGCAAAAGCATTAGATTTATGATGTGTAATATGTACCTGTAGTAAACAAAGTGTATTCCTGGGGGAATCATCTTTACCCCTTTAAACTTAGGCCCTGTAGTCCAGGAGTTGTAATCTATGCCAAACTCGGACCCCTCTGGCATATCCAGTAACACAAAAGTTGCTCCTTCTCGGAATAAAACTTTAGCTGTCTCATTGTTCATCCTTGACCTTTATAAATCATACGTAAAAAAAAATTATAATACATTATCCTATCCATAAAAAATTCTGTAAAGCATGATAAAAATAATTTCAGAACATATCACAGGGTGAGAAAAATGTATGGTCTGAGACTGACTTGGACTCAAAACTTACATCATATATTTATTCATTAAATTGTAAAAATAAAGTACTGTTCAATATCAACTATGCATGCATTTTGTGTGTGTTAATTCATATCTTTGCCTTTTGTTTTAACACCTAGGAAGATGGGCCTGATCAGTTAATACAAATTCATTTTTAAGTTTGATTGTGTTGAAAGGTTTAATCTTATTGAAACACTCTCAAATCCATTCCTGGAACCATCCAACCAGTACTAATTAAGCAATGAATGTAAAGTTTCTTGCTCAAAGAAACAACAGCTTGGCCCCAACAAGGTTTGAACCCAGCTGGCCAGCAATCTTTAGATTACTAGTCCGACGCATCAACATCCGTAATGATAAAGCACATCTTGGTGAAACTGTTAACAAATGTGGCAAAAATATAATAATGCAGTCTAATTTATCCAGCAACAACGCTTTGACAACTGTTGGAAAAAGACATCACCTGTCCAAAATTATCCCGATAACTCGCCTAAAAGTCTAATTAGTATCACTATCACGTGGACACCACTACCAGCTACTTTGACAAAAATAAATTTTATCTGGTACCAGTACGGAGGACCATTTCTTCTAATTTAACTACATCTGATATAAATTTGAAGGAGAATAGTCATACTTAATCGTAAATTTTTCAATAAATAAAGCCATTAAATTACCTGTCGTATGTGGTTTAACACGAAAAACGTGCAAATTTCGTTTATTTACGTTTTCAAATGCCCGTTTTAATTCCCGTGTAAAGCCGTACCATAATTAATGACTGGTCGGATGCTACTATCTAATTTTAAAATTAAATATTTTTTCTCGGAGACTTATATCACATTCTAATATTTTATTTAACATTAGGTTCGTTCAGAGTAACCAATGACACCTTGTCACCAATATTAAAAATGAGCCTTGCCATTTGGAGCGTTCTGAGTAAATCCATTTGTTTTAATAACAAAATTTGTAACTGAAATTCATATGCATTAGACAAGTTTAGTGGTCGTGTTGATACATGGAAGGAGAGATCATCAATAGAGAGTGGCATTCACTGAACGCAGTCCGAAAAATAAATTCCCAGCCATTTTAGGGTATCCATAGTTTTCTATATTTGCTTATATAACTATAGCTGTAAAGAAGAAGAAAAGAACAGAAAAAAGAAGTCCTGTGACTTAATCCTTAATAACAGTGAGTCACAGTGATTCCATTTTTCAATATATTTATGAACTGCAAGAAATAGTTTTTCATTACCTGAGTCTTGAAGTGCCGTGTTACCAAAATGATTAGTATTTAATGAACATGAGAATTATATATACATATATACATTTTATCAGCTGAGGTCTTATGTTTTGATAAAATGAACAGTCAAGATAAATGGGATGAGCAGCATCCCTTTGTCCTTAAACACAATAGGTGAAGGTATGATATTCTTAGAAAAAATGTCATCGGCAAATGAACTACAATTGGTCCACAGATGTTGTGAAAATTTTAAAATTTTCCTTTTTCACCAAAGGAAAATTTTTTTTTTTTCCCCCGGAAATTTTTTGAATGTTATGCGAAAAAGGGTTTAAAAAATTTACGATAAATTTTTAAAAGGGATTTTGCAAAATTTCCATTTTTAAAGACTTTTTAAAAAGGGCTTAAATTTTGGGGAAATAAAAGGAAAGAAATTTTTAATATACATTTACCCATGGGTATAAAGCTAGGGGAAAGCTCTTAACAGTTTTGATATTGTAATATGTATGATTGTTCATTGGTGGTAACTAGGAGCATTTCAGAAAGGTAAGGTGGAACGAGATTTTTGGACATTTTATAAAAAAAAAGAACAAGTTTGAGTTGGTTACAACGAGATTCAAATGATTCCCACCCTACTTCGGACATAAGTTTGGGAAATGAAACAAGTTTGGTTTGTAACCAATTTATATTGTTTAATGAGCCTTTCATGGACGGTAAATGGAAAAAGTGCACTTGTTGAAATTTTGACCTAAACTAAAATATTGATGGTATTCATTTAGAAAAAGCATTTAAACTTTTTAGAATTTTTGATTAGGGTGTAAACGTAACTGTAAAAGTTGCTGGTAATGAAGATATTGCTTTCAATGAAGTCCTAATCATGGAATTGCATATCTACAACATGCTCTTGTAAACCTTGTTTGAAACAATTTTTATAAAGCCATGCCATGCATTGTTCAGCAATTGTTAATAAAAATAAATTTGTATTTTTTTAAAACTTGTCATACACAGCCCAAAATGATTTCATTCATTCATTCATTCATTCATTCATTCATTCATTCATTCATTCATTCATTCATTCATTCATTCATTCATTCATTCATTCATTCATTCATTCATTCATGCATTCATTCATTCATTCATTCATTCATTCATTCATTCATTCATTCATTCATTCTTTAGAACTAATATTAGAAAGTGAACGTTTCTTAATTCCTGGAACCTTAATGTAGCTTATATTATTTAAAAAAATCTTTCAGAACATAAAGATCGCCATGAAAAAATCAAATGCCAATTATACGTTTTCCTATACTATTTTTACATTGTCCTGAAAAATAAAATGGCTTGCTGTGATGAAAAATATTTAGTAGTGTATTGCCTAAATTATAAATGTACGGAACAAAAGGGTACGGAGTTTAAACTCGCGAAGAAGCGACAAAATAAAATATATTCAATTAATTAGCTTATTGTTCAGCATTTTTAATAGGAACATATGATGGCAGATGATAGTGATGTTGATGAAAATGATAAAAATGTTGGATTTCTTTATAGAGCAATGAGTAATTACTTTATTATAATTATTAGAGAAGTTGAGTTGTGTATGATATTTTGGATAAGAAGAGTACTCGGACAAATTGAATAATTTGAGAGAAGGGATGACTGTGAGATCGATATAAGATAACATTTGTCTAATTTGAATCTATGTTGTTCGAAGTAAATTGTTAATCAATAGTTAAAAGCGTTTTTTGTTCATAAAAAAATTTCCCCCAATTTGGATGAGGTTTCATGTGAAAGTGCACACAATAAATAAAGGGCATGTGCTTTTTCTCATTTAGGTCATAAAAACTTTGTTACTCTCCCTTTTTAAAAATAATTTTCAATATAAAACACTCATAGCATTTTTAAATTAAATTGTTTTTCATGCAAATTTTTTTTCTTGTTCAAAAAAAGCCATTGAAAAAAATTTTTCAGTTTGTAAAATTTACAAGATTGTGGGTTTAAACAATTTGGCCCTTTTTTTTTTATTTTTCAAAAGTAAATTTAAATGTTCACCCAAATTTTTTGGGGGGACAGTATGGAAGGGAGGGTGGATTTGCTCAGCCGGGGAAGCTTTGGTTTCAAGGGATTCCGATGGTCCCGGGGTTTTAGTCTTGGGGCACAAGGATTTTTTTTTTGGGTTATTTTATAGCCAATATTTGGTTGCATTCATTTAATCACTGACAAAAAATTTTAAGTGATGCATTTTTCACAATTTTTAACAAAATATCGCTGAAATTCTCAATGCCATGGGTTTGGGTCATGTTCCCAAAACCCTGGAAAAAAACCCTGGGTCGGGCTGCACATATTCTCACCATGATATTTGGTGCCCAACTTGGCTATAGCTCAGAGTTTAATCAGGGCCTTCGGTCTACCAAATCTGTGGTCCAATATCAGCTGCAGGCCCCCATCAAAATAGTAGGCCTATGTTTTTTTCCCCCTTATCAGAGGTAAAAATAACCCTCAAAACATCAAAAATCTAAAGGAAAAATCAAAAACCTTGTACTGTTTTTGACATTGTAAAATTGATCTGTTTCATGGTGTTACTGTCCGAGGAATATTATATGTCTGCTCCATTTTTTCATGCTCTGTTTTTTCGATTGACATGTTGACATGAAGGATCAGGTTCACTGAAATGTGTGTCTTATAAACTAAGAATAATAAGGTTAATAGGTTTTTAAAGAGACCTCTGTAAATATGTTAACTAATCATTCATTGATACTTTGCATAAGTATGACATGTCTTTTCATCTGGATCATGAATTTTAGTTTGCGGCAGAGAAATTTGGATTATGATGCTACATTTTTTGTATTTCATGTTTCTCAGGAAATAGGGACCCTGGTAAAAGACGTGTGAAACCTGTGCAGAAACATTTGATACAAGTTAACTTTGGTGGAGATGATAGTGAGAATGACAGTGACTATCATGTCAAAAACTCAGGTAGGCAAACTTTGCTGTAACTGCATGATGACTGTTAGTTAAGGCATAAAATGAAATATTTATTCGTTTCCCCTCCCACTACCTACACTGGAAAAAAACAAGGTACCTCCAAAAAATTCATTGCCAAACAAAAAATTACTTCTTTTGCTGCATGCCTTCAGATGAGTCAAAATATTTAAAGAAAATCAAACTTGAAAAAAAATGTGTTATGATTTTTAGCTCGACTATTCGATAAGAATAAGTAGAGCTATTGTAGTCACCCGAGCGTCTGCGTCGGCGTAACCACTTATGTTAAAGTTTTTGTAATAGTTCAAATATTTTCAAAGTCCATTGACATATGGCTTTGAAACTTTGCATTCATGTTCACCATCATTACCCCAACCTGTAGACAGGAGGAGGTAACTGTATCAAGCATTTTGACAGAATTATGCCCCTTTTTCGACTTAGAATTTACGTTAAAGTTTTTGTAATAGTTCAAATATTTTCAAAGTCCATTGACATATGGCTTTGAAACTTTGCACACTTGTTTACCATCATTACCCCAACCTGTAGACAGGAGGAGGTAACTGTATCAAGCATTTTGACAGAATTATGCCCCTTTTTCGACTTAGAATTTACGTTAAAGTTTTTGTAATAGTTCAAATATTTTCAAAGTCCATTGACATATGGCTTTGAAACTTTGCACACTTGTTCACCATCATTACCCCAACCTGTAAACAGGAGGAGGTAATTGTATCAAGCATTTTTTTTTACTATCAAGCACTAAGAATAGTCGAGCGTTGCTGTCCTACCGACAGCTCTTGTTAAAAAGTAAAAAGATTTACATGTTATGTGCGATTTATGACTGATTTTGCAGTATTTATCATCATATTTCCACTGCGTGACTTTATTTAAGGACATTAAGGACAAATTTGCAAATTTTGACCCCTTTTTGGTAATTTATGTGGATTGTTATTGCCATTTGCTATGTGTTAATTATTTTCTTTTTTCACATAACAATAATTATTCTCATTTTAGATTTAATGGTTATTAGGGAGAAATGAAAGCATCATAGAACTTTAAGTATGAAAGTCATCTCATTCGTAAGGAAAAATGTCTCTTAAAAAATGTAATTTTTGTTGTTGCTGATTTTATTGTAGATCTGAGTGATGATGATGAACAAGAACTGGAAACAGATGAAGACCGTGATGGTGACAATGATGACAGTGATGATAAAAAGAAAGATGAAAATGATAATGGTATTGTTTGGTTACAATTTACTTACAATTTAATTTTCTTTCTAAAGTTTTTTTTTACATTAGAATAATACAGAACAACCTCTTTAAAGCAATAACCTTTTTACAACAGCTACAGATTTTCCCTTTAGCCTACCTTCATAACCTGTCTTGGGTTAGAATTACAATTATGTATCTCTTAGTTCCAGCAGTTGAGGTGGTTTTGAACCCTGGTATTGCTTTAAGTTTGTAACGCCCAAATTGAGCCAAAATCTCCTTTCCTGTTTCAGTGCCATACAACCTAAATTGTGTTGTTGCGCTGTAAAACCAAACTTAACAAAGGGCTTTCTCTGCCTGTAAGAGACAAACTTACTATTGGACCATAATCATTACAGTAAGTTTTTAATAAAAAAATTATAACGTGAAAAGAAAAAAATGAGAAAAGAAAGAAAATATTTTCACTAGTTTTGTCTGGTTTTTAGGACCTGTATTATCATCCAAAAGTGATATATCAGATGATGATAGTTTGAGTAGTGATAGTAGTGAAGACTCCAGTGATGATGAGGGAAGTGACGATAGTGATAACGGGAAACAACGGAGAAACTTACTGGACGTGATCAACACAGATGATGATGAGGATGACGAAGATTACGTCCCGAAGAAGAAACAAAAACACATGGAGAAACACGTAGAGAAACAGAGAATACGATCTCCTGATGTGGTGCCAAACGATATACAGGAAGAGTCCACAAGTTCTCATCCAATGAAAGTGCTCATTTGTTGTGTATGTTTGGGAGATATTAGGTAATATTGATTATATAGAGGATATTTGTTTAGTTCAGTGTAAGATCGGAATATATTTCACCGAGTGAGCACCAAAAGGTATAATATGAACTTTGGTGTTCACAAGGTGAAATATATTTCGATATTACACTAAACTAAACAAATTTTCTTTTTATTACATGCAAAGAAACGTTTTAAAAAGACATTAACCCAATACTGAATGAAAAGCGCGCCAAATCATAATACAACGTGACGTCATTTACGACATCACGTCATTAAGTTGGTACCCAGTACTGTGCACGCTGGTATTTCACTGAAACAACATAAGGGGCTTAAATTCAAAACAGTGAAATTATCAAAGTGGTAATTTCACTGTTTCAAACAGTGAAATTACCAGTTTTATATCACTGATATATTTCTATAAACCACTGGAAAGCATGTAATAAATCATATTTGATAGCACTAATAAATTAACAGATCTGTTATAATTAATTCTGACTGAAGCTTCACACAGCAAATTTGGTGTGTAAACTTGAAGAAGCAATGTTGATCTATTAAAATGTAGGAATTTTTGTAGGCAGCGCTGTGGTTCATATACAGTAAAATGACATTATTTCTTAAAATTACATTATGCTCTTTTTTTTTTCAAGTTCAGTTAACTACATGTATCTGTTTGTGTGTGTTTTTTTTTAAAAAGACTGACTATTATTATTGGGATTGAACAGTAACTGAAAATGACAAAGAATTAGTAAAAAATGTAAAAACCTGTCTAGAAAATACAAAGATATAACAAGACTGTCAGTGAATGTTACCTCTAAATTGCAAAGAATTTATATAAATTTCCTTGAATCATGACATCTGAGTTATTAATTATTTTCGTGAAGCAGAATAAAATATTGAAAGCAAGTGTGGCAAATTGTAAAGTTATTATAACATTAACCAGTACACTCACCATTTACGCTTGAATGGGGATAATATCACTTTACATTACAGTGAGACGGATGATGAGATTGTGGAATGTGACAACTGTGGTGTTGCTGTTCATGAGGGTTGCTATGGTATCAGTGATAACCAATCAATAGCCAGCACGGAATCCTCGGCTAGTACCGAACCCTGGTTCTGTGATGCTTGTAAAGCTGGTGTGAAGCCGGTAAATATAACCTTAAAATTTTTACTTTGACTTTTACACATGTGTCAGAATTTTAGATTGATGAAATTATTCTATTGTTGACGGAACAGTATAAATATTTCTTGATAGTCACAATTGTATCCTATCTCAAGTTAAACAGAAAGCCTCTGTAGCCAATGGTTTAGTTTTCTGATATCATTTAATTTGCCCCTCATTGCAGTTGGTTGGTATCTTTCCTAGGTTTTTAATCCTTTAGTTTTATCCAGTAAGTTTAGAATCCCGTCTATCATATAAGTCATTTGTACTGTTTTGTAGAACACGTTTGTAATGCATAGTAAGGTCCTTAATCAGAAGTGGCAAAAAAAATTTAATGTTAAAAATGAAGTGATACATTATTTTGAAAATGTAAATATAAAGTACTGATATTTACAGGATTGTGAATTGTGTCCAAATGAAGGAGGAATATTTAAAGAGACAGATGCTGGGAAGTAAGTCTGGTTATATTTGTTATATTTTTCTGGTCCTTCGGGATCATTGATTCCAAAACTTTTAAGTGTTGAAAATTAAGTACCAGTCAAGCGGGTGCTAGGGGAGCATGAGGGATGTTGCACTTTTTTATTGTCCCTCATGTACAGACTAAGTCAAAATGAGTCTGCATTTTTGTTGTGATTAATGCTTCCAAGGGATCACATTTTGTCCAGATTTTTGTTATACTTTAGCTGAATCTGAAGTTTGATCTAAAATATTTTTATCAGTGATGAACCCTTATCTCACTGTTGTCATGTAAATAAATTTGAATTTGTAATTTAACATTTGTTTGTTTCAAGCAGCATGCCTCCATATTCATGATAATTTTTATGAAAATTATTAAAAAGTGTTTAAAGTAGTCAAAATATTGTCTTATGTAATTATTCCCTGTAAAAAGCTTATGTATATAAATTTGGCTGTTCGTCCAAATGTCTAACCAAGCATATGATAAGATACAATAACAGTAACAGTAAATTCTATTCATTCCATGTATGTTGTTGGTTATAAAGTTGACTTGGTGTTGGGTATATTTTCAACACAGGGAAAATGATATGCTGTAATCCAAGCATGTCTGTTAGAAAAGGAAATAGTGCGACTAAGCTACACATTTATGTCGATTTTGTCATTGTTATGAATATACAACATATTAGAGAGAAAATGTCATTATAATTCTGTATTTCTAGATGGGTACATCTTGTGTGTGCTCTATACACCCCAGGGGTAGCATTTGGAGATGTGGACAAACTGTCACCTGTTACTTTATTTGAAATGCCATACTCAAAGTGGGGATTAAAGGTACATTTTTGTAATATTGAAGAGTAACAAACTATTGAACTTTTAAAGTTTGAGATTAAAAAATACAGTCAAATCTATTTATAGATGATAAAAAAGAAGATTAATGTGAAAAAATATTTTCAGTCACTCATCCAGCAGGACAAGCAGCTTCTAATTACAAGTGCAGACAACATTTTCTACTCGTCCTGCATTGAGTTTTCTTAAATTCTACTCGTAATTATGAGTGGATGAATGACATTTTGGATCCATGATAACCAACATAAGTGATTCATAGTTTAGAAATGTTAGGTTGTTACCAGGATTAGGCTGCCTTTGAAATTTTGTTCGCTACTTCAATACAATCAAGTATTACATTCACAATATATTTCAATTCTCTAGAGAAACTTGTCTTAGCAACAACTAAAAATCTTTGTATCTCAGAGGGTGTTGCTTTGCCGAGGTTTTACTGTATAATAATTTTCAGGAATGCTCACTATGTGAAGATTCAAGGTTTTGTAAGACGGGTGTATGTGTGAGTTGTGATGCTGGAATGTGCCGAAGTTTCTTCCATGTTACATGGTAAATAACCATTATATAATAAATACAATTGCCCCTTACCTATGTGGGTGGTGTCTGTTCGTGCCTGAAATAATGCATGGAGGGGCACCTGAGGTTTTACTCTACCAGTAAAGCTGGAATGTCGCCATATGACCTATACTGTGTCAGTGTGACGTAAAATTCAATCAAAAACAAACGAACAAGACAATTATAATAAATATTTAAATAAGTAACTAATTGACTAATTGTTGTACAGTCTCCAGTGTGTTTCAAGCCACACTATAATTGTCCATACTACAACCTATGATCTACATTGAGCTCAACTGTTATATTTATATTGTTGAGAGACAGACTTGACTTATATTTATATAAGTGACAGGTTCTTCTTGCAATCAATGTCAGTATCACTGGTTAAGTTTTAAAATTATTATGACTCAACATTTCTTCATAGAACCCATTAAGTATTGCTTTGAAAGTTATAACGCTTGTTAAGAAAGAACATAACATGCTCTTCAGCCAATTATTTTTTTCTAGAGTTTTTTTTTTAAAGAACAGGTGATAGTTTGGTGACTTTTCATTGTAGAATTATCTAATGCATCAATATGTAGGACCTTAGTTTAAAGTTTCACTTGAAATCTGTTATTAATTAAGAGAAAGCGCATTAATCCTCATCTTAGTGCAAAAACTGGTTAACTCTTATTAAATTTAGAAGGACATAACCCATTACTGCAGTAAGTAGACCATTTAATCTGCATTCTATAGATTTATATTGAGACACAGTGTTACCAAACAACTTCTAGAGTCTAGTTTACAATGCCTATCCTATTATAATATTTTTCAGTGCACAAAGAAATGGATTGTTGTCCGAGGCATCTCCAGATGAGGTAAATATTGTCTGGTTATACTATTCTGTACATTACAGAGGATTATTTAGATTACAGAGGATTATTTAGACTTGTTCCAAATTTGAAAAAAAACATTGGCATTAAGACCTATATTGTTGTTTTTTTAGCTAGGTCAAAGTCCCACATATAACCTATCTTGAACCAACCATTGTTTAATGCCCTTTAAATCTGTACATATTTCATGAAATAACAAACTCCTTCTCTCCATTTCACATACATGTATATGTATACATATTATTATTTTTCATAATCATGTTGTATTATTGAACAATATTTAAACTGGATTTTATAAAGTCTTGTAAACTGGTTTATCACTTTTGGTCTTTGTTATTAGGTTTTCATGATCAAAGAACAGCTGAACCTATACTAATTTATTGAAAGTATAGGATTTTATTTTTGTTTTGAAAATTCAGTTTTATGCTTTTAGTTTAGTTTATAAAGAATTTAATTTAGTTTTATTAAGTAGGAAGCTATAAGCTTGTTAAAACACTCTTAAATCCGTTCCTGGAACCAACCAATATTAAGAAATGAGTGTAAAGTTTCTTGCTCATCGAAATAATGGCTTGCCCCTGATGGGGTTTGAACCCATATGACCAGCAATCCTTAGATTACTAGTCCTAGTTTTAGTAAGCGTTAACCACTCGGCCATGCTGCCACTTTGATTTTGAATGATAAAAAATCATTTGATATTAATGACATGATTATATTGTTTGTATCAGGATATAGCTGACCCATTTTACGCTTACTGTAAGCTACATGCTGATAAGATAACATCTAGAGCTAAACGTAGAAACTTCCTCGCCATACAAAGCCATGTGAGACAGCACACTGCACAAAGCATACCAGATGAAAAGGAGAAGGTAAAATTTCTGGCGACATAACTTAAGGATATTTTATTTTATTTATATGTACATTTACTGTAAATGCACATTAGCTGTGTAGCACCAGTATGTGTAGTTTGCTCATGTTATAGTAATTTTCCCCTTAGATTAGGAATGAAGAAATATTTAAAAATGACTTGTCATGAACCAAAAGGAGAATGAATCTTCTCTGAACTTGTCCTGCAGCATTCTTAGATGGTCTTCTTAAAGTTGTTTTAAATAAATTGGTTTGCCCTTTGAGCCTCTTTCATGGGATGCTATAACTTCAAACAGATTTTAACATTATAAACAACTTCTTATTGTAAGCTAATGGATGGATCTTCTCAAACATAGTACTCTTAATCCTTGGTTTAATTGCTTTTTAATTGAAATTGAAAATTGAAGATGACCTGAGCAGGGGTCGCTCTGACCAAAACAAAAAACAATCCTGAAACAACATTTTACTGATAATAAATTATTGCATATGTTTGGCAAGTAACATTCTTTTATGTTAACTGTCAATTTGTTTCAATGATATTATTTTTGAGGCAAGGTGTCAGATATTTGATACTATATTTCAGGCAAGATTTAAAAGAAAATTAAACAAACATAGACAAAGATATATGTTAGCAAAAGCTGCTAGACCTCCATCATGGGGTAAGTGTACTAAAACTTGTCAATTTACTTGTCTAAATTGGATGATTTAATCCAAATACCCAGATTCGGGGAATGTCATACATTATCCTTTCAAGCAGATTTATTAATATATAAGCAAAAATTAAATATTATAAATTATTTTGCAAAGATTCTCATGCTTTTTAAATAAAACTTTTAGAATTTTCTCATTTAGCTAATGGAAGTCCAAATTTTTTGTCCAGTATGCAAAAATATATGAAGTGGCTCTTCAGTGTTGGTATGACTTAAATTTCACTGAAAGATTAAATGAATAAACATTTCACATAAATTACAAAAAACAGGATTTTCCATATTCATATACCGGTATATTTTCAGTGCCCCCTCAGAAGATGATAAGATATCTCACCTCTAGTCCGTCTGCTGTGAAGAAAATGTTGAGGAAGGCAGAACTCATGGGCATTATAACACAGGTTTTATCAAGCAGAATGATGCATTATAAATCAATTTCACATGATGTAAAATGCTTTACAAATCAATATCACATGATGTAAAATGCATTACAAATTAATGTCACATGATGCAAAATGCATTACAAATTATTATTATATGATCTAAATATAGCTGCAATCTCGTTGGTCCAAACAGTAGTCAACAGAACTTTTTATAAAATCATATTTACTGGGTGTAGTATCATATTCACTGGCTGAATTGGTTATTCCCAGTCTAAAAATAGATTGAGAGTCATATTCAATGACCATACACCGTAGACTGTTAATAACGTGTGTAAATTAAAAAATAATTGTTGCGTTTTGTTCTTTATGGCATATTTCTCGATTAAAATATCAATACATTACCATTTTACTTAAAGGCTACACCGCAATGATGAGTATAAACTTGAATTACTTTTGTATGCGCAGCGTTCGCGAAGTCGTTGCACGCCTAACACGTGCGTCTTTTTCCCGCTTCAACGAGGCAAAATTTGCACATGTATATAAGGTTGTACTTTTCGTGTTTTTTTTTTATTTCTTAGCCTATTCATATAATAAAACGTCTCGCCTCGGTCAATATGTCATCTGCCGGTGAATATCACATCATATTCAATGGCTCACTAGTCAATAATTGTATAATATCACATGATGTAAAGTGCATTACAAATTAATGTCACATGATGTAAAATGCTTTACAAATCAATATCACATGATGTAAAATGCATTACAAATTAATGTCACATGATGTAAAATGCATTACAAATTAATATCACATGATGTAAAATGCATTACAATTAATATGACATGATGTAAAATGCATTACAAATCAATATCACATGATGTAAAATGTATCACAAATCAATATGACATGATGTAAAATGCATTACAAATCAATATTGCATGATGTAAAATGCATTACAATCAATATCACATGATGTAAAATGCATCACAAATCAATATGACATGATGTAAAATGCATTACAAATCAATATCACATGATGTAAAATGCATTACAAATCAATATCACATGATGTAAAATGCATCACAAATCAATATGACATGATGTAAAATGCATTACAAATCAATATCACATGATGTAAAATGCATCGCAAATCAATATTACATGATGATAAGGATTTAACTTATATCTCAGCTTTGTATGGACATTTTTTGTAATTTGAAAAGTTTTTTTTTTTAAACCCAAGGATAAGTATGAGTAACTTTAAACTATTATATCATCTACTTGTTTGTTGACACAGTATTATGATAGTTTGAGCTAAATTTATAATTTTTATTACACAAACATTTTAAAATTAAACATAGAATATTTATCAGAAAGAATATCTTTAAAGTTTTAAAGGTGTACTCGCTACTGTAAAAATAGATGAACAGGGGAGTGGTGGCATAAAGGATAAGGTGTCTACCTCTCTACCCAGGAATCATGGGTTCCAGTCCTGCCCAGGTCACAAACATGTATCCTTAAATGATACTAGTACTGGTAAGGTTCAGAAAAGGAACTTGAGACTTGTTTCAATAAGCTGCAAGCATTCATCACAATCCTTCTTTGATAAAAAACATTTGAACTGATAAATTCAAAAAGGTCAGGGCCAAAGTATTTTATGTTTACAGTCTCACCATGTGGTACATACAGCAGAGAAACAAGAGAGGAAGAAATCCCATACAGGACCAGCTTTCGCTGCCGACTTTGTCACCTATTATCTAGGTAATTCCTCTTTATTGTTTATACAAGGCTTAGTATATAGTAGTATGAATAAAGTTAATCTGGCATGGCCGTGAAAAAAGCTAAGCATCATTTCATTTAGAAGATGTTGGATCAGGGAAATCAAATCAAATCAATGTTTTAACATTTCAAGGGTTGACTGGGAAACTGTTGCAAGTCCTTCTTTATTTCATATAACTAACTGTTGTGATGTGGTCAACCCTCAATTTATCAAAGTCAGCACTGCACATTGATGGGTTTTTTATAGGCTTATTCATTTTCGGCAACAGAAAAAAAGAAATCTGTAAAAAGTGTCAAATATGTAAAACAGGTTTATTAACTATTGTTTATTTGGGTAAAAGACATCTGAACCAAAAACAATACTCATCATTGTTTACAAAACATACTCAGAATGTTTTCCAAGAATTGCAGACACACTATTAAACACAATTGATTTGTGATGGACAGACTTTGTGAATTATTGGTGGAATTTGTAAACACAATCAATATACATGTAAATGGACATGCATTAGAAATATGAATTTGTATTTTTCAGATAATAATTTCACATGTAAATAGTACTGCAAACACTTTAATATGTTTCTTTTATTCTTATAATCAAAATATAATTTTTTAAGAACAAATGAAACTTTAATCAAACAGTGAAAACGAGGAACTGACTTAAAATAATATTTTACAGATCGCAATGTGAAGATAGAGAAAATGAAGTCAGATTTGAAGGAACTAGAAAAACAGAATGCTAAACTGCGGAAACAAGATAATGCATTGAGACAACAGTATGACAAGGTAATTATCTTATTTTGTTACCTTATTTAGTCTTTTTATTGTGGAATACTATCCCTTATATTCATATATTTCAAGTATGTTTGCAGGCATGAAATAGTTTGTTTCCCAACTGCAACACTATTATGTCATTCATTTGACTGAGAAACTCATAAGTGTCAAAGGGTGAGAAAAATGTGTAGCCTGACGGGGACTTGAACCCTGGACCTTTGGACTACTGTTCTGCAACTGTACAGACTGAAAGTATGCATTTTATTTCATAAATATTTCTCAATATTTAATTTATAAGTATATACTGTGTTTTGCAGCTGTTGAAGCAGACAGAGAAACCCCATGATCCAAGCAGTAAACTGAGAAAGACTGGTGAAGATATATGGGCTATACTTAATGCACTGGCTGGAAAGGTACGCTGTTTTGTCATTTCAAGGTTACGGGAACCTCTGTGGTTGATATGACAGTCACTGAATTCTATTTACCCTCGCCACTGGAGGTTTTAATATCACAAAGAATGTAACATTGTTTATGTGTTTTATGAGGCAATCACTCAATTTGCGTTTGTTTGTGTTTTATATCACATGGACACTGTGGACTTTAGACTTTCTAGCATTACTGGTGCAGTTAGATCTCTTGAAAAAGGTGCTTTATTATAATTATTTCTGGCATCAAGTTGCACCGGAGTAGAAATACTGACCTATTAAATGCAAGCTGGATAGCTTTCTCACATGATGGACGCCAAAATTAGTTTGAAAGTTAAAGCTGAACGTTTCAAAGTGCTGAATTGAAGTAATGTTTGAGTGCTTAATTTACAATACACATCATTATTGTGCCAAATGGTTTTGTCATTGTCTCAAAATACATGAATTTTGAAAAATAGACTCATGTTTAGGAATTCTGATCATGTCTCATTTCAGCCCATGCCACTACCTGAGATTTTCAGGCAGAAGAAAGTGAGCAAATCACCTGCAAAGAAAGAAGTTCTTAAATCTCCTTCTGCTGTCATTAAACAGTAAGTCCCTCTTTCTTTAATGAAGTATTTCATATATGCCATTTTGTATAACTTTATTGAATCCTGAAAAGTTTATTGTAGCACAGGTGTGGCTTATGGCCCTTTTGTTAACATTGTATTTGATTGCTTAGTCACTTGGTTTTCTATGACCCCACTGCTTGTCCTTGTCAGTCTGTTCATCCTGCTGTCAGTGGAAATTTTGGGGCATGTCTGTCTATAGACTTATTTTTACTTTAGTTTTTATATTTTTTTACAGAAATTGTTGTTATCAGTTTGATGACAAATAACATTAAGTTAAAATTTGATATGTTGAAAATATTTTACTCAAATTATGAAAAATGCATCTGCAGCAGTGTATTTTAGCACATGTATATAGTATAAGTGTTTTATGGTTGATATGATTGATATCTATGTTATTTCCTTCAGATGTGGTACATGTGGGAAGTCACATGATCAGCACCTGTTGGCTAGATGTGACAAGTGCAGACTGTGGTATCACCTGGGATGTCTTAATCCACCACTTACCAGAATGCCAAAAAAATCCAGTAGATGGGGATGGTAATATAACTTGTTTTTATCTTTCATTATAAATGTATGATCTTAAGATGGTAGAAAATTGTAAAGCATGTTAGAGAAAATTTTCACTAGAGATTAAAGTGCATTCTAAAAGTGTAAAAGGAGTTTTTTCCCTATAATATTTTTGAGATTTATGTACCATTGATGTAGGTCTTGACGAAATTTTATATCATTCATTCATTCACTGTTTTTCCAGAATACTAGTAATTGTTTTTATTTCTAAAAAAAATAGGTTCAGAATTACACTATAAATTGATTTCCAATTAATTCTTAGTTTATTCCTTTATTATCATTTGCAATTTTTTCTATATTAATACCATATCATACCACACCACACCATACCACACTATACCACACCACACCATACCAATACCACACCATACCATACCAATACCACACCATATCATACCAATACCACACCAAACCATACCAAAACCACACCATACCATACCAATACCACACCATACCAGTACCATACCAATACCACACCATACCATACCAATACCACACCACACCACACCAATACCACACCAATACCACACCACACCATACCACACCATACCAATACCACACCATACCATACCACACCAATACCACACCACATCATACCAATACCACACCATACCAATACCACACCACACCACACCATACCAATACCACACCATACCAATACCACACCACACCATACCAATACCACACCATACCAATACCACACCACACCACACCAATACCACACCACACCACACCACACCATACCATACCACACCAATACCATACCACATCACACCACACAACACCATACCATACCACACCACACCACACCACACCAATACCATACCATACTATTCAGTTTTTTTCTACTTTTTTATGTTACAATTAAAGAAAAAAAACGTGATTTTCTAGGCAATGTTCTGAATGTGGAGACAGCAGTAGTGAGGAATCTGAAGAACCTTCCAATGTTGATATAGATGCTCCACGGCGACTCCGTGAGAAAATTAAAGAACCTGCAAAGTTCTCCAGAGCACAGCAAGATATGGAGTTTTTATTCCCTGTAAGTTTCTTCATCAATTAGAATTTTTAAATTTTTGTTTGCTGCTTGTAAAAATTTTACAGTGGAATAATACTTATTTTTCAAACATTTTATTTAACAATGCAATATTAGTCAATATGTCAATATGTGAAACCAATCAAATATGAGTTTGAAGCTTTTGCCATTTTATTTTTACACATAATGTATGTGATTGTGCATGGTATTATAAGTGACAAAAACAAGACATTTGAAATTCAGTGCAGTTTTACACTGTTGATAAATATTATAAATAAGTGATCATTTTACACAGTCCTAGTGTCTGAAAATTCAGCAGTTTAAGTCAAAGAGCAAAGAAGCAATTAAGCATATTCAGAATGTGAAAGCAAGAGTTCAATTAAATTAAAACTTTCTGGGTTCTTAGTTTCAATTAGTTGATCCAGGATTAAAAATAAAGAAAAGTAAAGGTAGATATTAATGTCCCAAGGTTGCTACATTTATTTGTTTTGCCGGTCTGTCTACAAGTAGATAACTTTTACCTTGACCTTAGCATTTTCATTAAATAAGTCTTTCATACTTGGATGAAGCAAACCTCTTTGACAATATATTATGATTTATTTAATGTCCTATTTGATGAAGGTCTAGACCAATAATATGTGTGCAGAATTCAAGATCATTCGCTCACTCTGTTTTTCCAGAATAATTTTTATTATTGTGATCCAAAATTCCAATCAAAACAATAGCACATTAATATGATTTACAATTTATTTCTGAACATATTTCTTTACCCTATTTTTGCTTATCATTCCATTTAAGTGCACCAGCTGATCTTAGTATGAAATTCAAATTTTAATATATAAACTTAAATATCTTCTCTTGTAATTATAGAACATGCATGGTCGTCAAGACAAAAAGAAGAAAATGGTCAAAGGACGTATTAAAAAGAAACCTGAAAAGAAGAAAGCTGAGTCGGAGGAGAGACAGATAGACGGCAATAAACCAAAACCCGAGGAATCGAGCGTGAGTAGCCCTCCTCAACCGGAACCCTCACCAGCAGCCTCTTCACCAGCAAACCGTTCCTCTGCCGAGCCTTGTCAAGACGATCAGTCAAAAGCACCGTTCTCCCCTGCGAAACAACAACCACCAGATGAGATAGTGATTAGTGACGATAGTTCGATGGAAGTTGAAATCAAAATTGTCGAGGAAACAACGCCAATACATAGGCAGTTAACTTCATTTGTAAGACTTTTTTTGAGTTGATACACTATAAATGAAATGTGAAGTAGCACTTAATTTATTAATAGGGGACTCAATGGCTGAGGGGTGACGTTTTCTGAGTTCAAATCTCTTGCCTTTCACATGTCACTTTGATTATGAAGTCTTTTACAAGACACATGAAAAAAGCTATCTTGCCAAATAGTTTATGTAATGTTGTTGGTTGTAATTGACTGAAGTAATACAGAGAAAGATTCCAAAGGTCTTTATTTGCCATAAAAACCTTTATAGTGTAAAAACTTTTATAGTGTCAGTTTGACTTTAAACGTTGTCCCTAAAACCTGACGAGTAAAACTGCAAAGTCAAGATAAATACTCTTAGCAAGTTGTTTAAGAATTTTAATGTTTACAATATTTAAACTATTACCAAATATTCATGTTTTTCAGCAGTCAGATTTTTGCTAAAAAACTTGTTCTATTTATAACTACTATTTTGTCCACAACCTTTGATATTTGATATTTAATATAACATTGATATTCTAAATGTGCAGTCTAGATAATGGTTGAAATTAATTATCTTGAAGAAGTGAACCATTCTGAAACTTAGCTTTTGATTGGTCAGTGCTGAGCTAAATATTATCCAATGGAAAATTACCATTTCAAGAGTGGTCCTCAATTGCTAATGTAAAATGTAGTTTAATCTACTTTTGAAATTATTTAAAAAACAAACCGTTTCATAAAATCATAAAGAGAGGATGTATTGTCATTTCAGCATGAAGTATCAAGGAAAGGTCGGAAGATTATCAAGAAAAGACATTATGATGATGATGAAGATGACAGTGACACATCACCAAAACAGCTGGCAACGGGTTAGCCATAACCTAACAAATGTTTTAACATTACATTTGAACTGAGTCATGATAAATCAAGCTTTTGATTGACTAAAATAATCTAACATTTCAGGGATGTCTACAAGCATTGTTAATTTTGCACATGTTGTTGATTTTGCACATGACTTAACTTAATACTCTTGCAAATTAACACAATTGAATGGAAAAACAATATTGGCATTTATACTGTGACGGGCATAATGCGACTTTAACCTTTTTGATTGCATGTTTTGATATACATTTACACTCAAATTTAGTGTTGATGTTAGGGATCATTCTGAAACAGATTTTAAAGAAACTCCACTGAGGTTCCAAAGCTTGAAAATATGAAATTAAAAAAAAAAAATTATAAATACATTGAAAATCACATTTTTTTGCAATACTCTGCCGGTTTTAGTGTAAAATGTTACAACTTTTCATTTTTTGGTGACATTTCACAATTGTAATAATTATTCTAAAAAAGTGAGAGAATGACCTGAAATTTTGACACAAACTGTTAGTCTAGACCTACATCAAATTGAACATTAATTTCGAAAAATTATTTCCAGTCCTGTTATGTCAGAAAAACCTCAGTTGAGTACCTTTTATCATGTTTAGTAAATTGCAATGCTCTCCAGATGAAGTGTTACCTGGCAGGTATTATCCTTGAATGATGGAAACCTTAACTTTGTACATTAAAAGCTAACAATAATGGGCCTGTTGGTTAAATAGTGGGCTTTTTAATGTTGTAACTAGGATAGTATCAAACCAGGTTTTTAATTTTGAAATACAGTAAGACTGCTTTTGGTTATGAAGAATGGTGGGTTCGTCATATAAAGGGGGTGATCATAAGGTGGGGCTATACTGTACATGTAAATTGGTATTATCTGTATAAGATTATCTGCTGGGTTTGGATTTATAAGGTTGTTCTTGTTTGATTAGGTGATTGATTTATTACCTCTTTATACATGTTCTGTGCTACATATAATACAAAGGACGGAAAGGGGTGGAGTTTTGAGCTTAATGCTTAAAAGCTAGAAAAGTGAATAAAATGCTCTATTTGAAATTGGTGACAGCTATAATTGTTTAGGTCATTGGTAAACAAGTAGAAATTTTGATGCTAAAGCATCAAGTCGCCGGATAGAAATATGATTGTATTATCATAAATAAAAGAAAATATCAGTTTAATGGTCCGAGTATAAAGAAAAGAGGAACAATAAGTTGAGTAATGTTTATTCATTAACACGTTTTCATTTACATGCCACAATTATATCTTTCTTGCTGAGAGTTTTATGCAAAAAAATATCTAATGTTATAATAAAATATCATATTTGAATCAAACTTGCTTAGCAATTATTTTCGGGAGCTGTTTCGTTTGCTTACATAACTTATAACTTACTATGATTAATGTTAACGATTTTATTGTAAGTATAATTACATGTATAAGTATATTAATTAATACTGCTCGATGGCCTAGTGGTAAGTATGACAAAGTTGAAACCTACATGTAGTAGGCGCAAGTTCGAATCTCGGACAAATCCTGTGTGTAGTTTTCATAAATTGATTTTTATTATATCTTTTAACTTTTGAAACATAAGTTGATAAATCGTGTGTTTCATTTCTAGCACTTTTTTATTTCATAATTTTGATAAACGGTCAAGTTTTGCAAAATACAAAAAGTATTATAAAAGAAAACATAAAAAATCACTTTATCGAACCTACAGTCTTCAATTTGAAACTAACTTTAAATCTAACACCTTGTCATCGAGGCTTGTAAAGCAAGTGATATGATTATAATTCTTTTTGTAATAAATTATTCTACTTTATACATATACCGTTGTACGTATGGTTTTCTTCAGCATCCGATAATTACCGACAAATTATTACCGATCATCGAATATTTGCAAAGTGACTATGAAAATATATATGCTTAATTATTGCATAAAACAATGCAATTCTACTGTAAAACTGGTGTCTGCATAAACAAATTATTCTTATGCACTATCGAAAAAATATATCATTTAGCTGAAATCAATATTCCTGTCGTTACATACGATAAAGTTAATGTTTAAATAATTGCCTTTCAGTGCGATAAACTATCAACACAAAGATAGTTTATTTGTTTTCTTCGATTCCGACCCCTACCGTCATACCGAGATTTTTCATACAAAATTACTTTGATTTGCACTTTACTATTCACATGTTACCTGTATATCTATCTTATCAGCCATTTGTTACTATTAATAGATTCCATAACAATAACATATACAACGTGTAGTCACGTGATTCTGGGAGAAACTGTTTATAATAAATAAGATAACAAATAGAAAAGGTCTCATAAGATACAAACAACCAGATAATTTAAAAGTGTCATTTCAAATATCATGCATGATTTATTTATCATAAAATAGCAACGCTTGACACTTTAAAAAAAGTAAAAGCATCCCTAAATTCAATGACTGGTCCATAGGGATACGTCACTAATTCATTTTATAAATATTGTAATGTTGCTTTTTACGATGTCAGTATTTGAATATTTCATTTCATTTGGCAACATTATTGTATGTTTGAATTTTTGAGATTACTGAAAACAATTGTAGTCTTTAATTGTTCAGTAATTGTTATGCTTTTATTTACAGAAATTAATGCCTTCTCCTACCATAGGTATAATATTAAACTGTTACAAATATAGTCGCCGGTTTCTACCGGCGACTAATTACAAATTAAAAACCTGGTTTTACCGTGGCATAGATGTACATGTTAAACATGTAATATAGTTTATTATTTTATAAGGAATGTCATTTGTTAAAAGCTTACATACACATTCCTTTGCTCTAGATTTAAAAAGAGTCATTATATGTTATGCAACACACAAGATATTTTGATTTTGTAATATTTTATGTAATTGTACTATATAATGGAAATTATCATATTGCATGTCGTTTGTTAGGTTGATTTTTATTGGACAATAGCAATATGACAGTCAGTACTTTTCTTCATGAAAATTCATATTTAACAAGCATTAATTACTGAAATCAGTTCTTTTACAACATTGTTGCATTACATATTTGTCTCAGTTTTTTGGTTTGAGTTTTGGTATCTGTTATCTTTTTTAAAATGTTGGGATGTTTGATTCAGTGGAATGTTTTGTGGGATTAATATTGTCTGAAAATATCAATTTACTATTGTCAATATATCCTACGGTTGTCTGAATGTCTAAAGGGACTGAAAAAAAAATATATGACCTATTTTCCAAACATAGAAAGGATACCAAAAGTCAACTCTATGCCAGGCATTGTAAGGATTGAAACTGTCACATGTTACTTTACACCACATTTTGAATTGATAGGCAGAAAAATAACGCCTGAGAAAGATGGAGGAAAAAAGGTACCATCAAAAACGCCCACTCAAAAGCCGACTCAGTGTGTCACATGCTCAGAGACGGGGAGCAGAAAAACTATGGTCCAGTGAGTATAAATTATTATCTCTAGTATATACATTTACCTTTTATATTGCTTCCAAAAATACTGACTTGTCTATGAACTTTGACCAGTACAGTCAGATTTTTTTTTGTACTGTTTCATTATATTGCTTCCAAAAATACTGACTTGTCTATAAAATTTAACCAGTACAGTCATTTTTTTTTGTACTGTTTCATTGGTCTGAGGAAAATTTATATTGTTTTATGCAGTCTTTCCTTAGTTTGTATTGTTTTATGCATTCTTAACAAACTTTGTACTGTTTTATGCAGTCTGCCCATGATTTGTACTGTTTTATTCAGTCTGGCCAGAATTTGTACCGTTTTATTCAGTCTGACCATATTATGTACTGTTTATTCAGTCTGGCCATAATTTGTACCATTTTATTCAGTCTGACAATAATATGTACTGTTTTATTCAGTCTGACCATAATTTGTACTGTTTTATTTAGTCTGGCAATAATTTGTACTGTTTATGCAGTCTGACCATAATTTATACCGTTTTATGCAGTCTGGCCATAATTTGTACTGTTTTAGGCGGTCTGCCCATAATTTGTACTGTTTTATGCAGTCTGACCATAATTTGCACTGTTTTATTCAGTCTGACCATAATTTGTACTGTTTTATTCAGTCTGACCATATTGTGTACTGTTTTATTCAGTCTGACCATAATTTGCACTGTTTTATTCAGTCTGACCATAATTTGTACTGTTTTATTCAGTCTGACCATAATTTGTACTGTTTTATTCAGTCTGACCATAATTTGTACTGTTTTATTTAGTCTGGCAATAATTTGTACCATTTTATGCAGTCTGACCATAATTTGTACTGTTTTATTTAGTCTGACAATAATATGTACCATTTTATGCAGTCTGACCTGAATTTGTTCTGTTTTATGCAGTCTGACCTGAATTTTATCCTGTTTTATGCAGTCAGACCTGAATTTATACTGTTTTATGCAGTCTGACCTAAATTATGACTGTTTTATGTAGTTTGACAAGAATTTTACTGTTTGACATTGAATCATCTTAAAATAACCAGTTAATGCTTTGCAAATTATTGTATAACTGCAACAGTGTAATGGTAAACAAGTCTTTTTAGCTGTATTATAAAGATGTCTGGTATTTAGATATAGAATTTCCTTTCTTGGATAAGACCTAATTGCTTGCCTAAGGGACATGTCTACAGCAAAAGTGGTCCATATTCAGAAGTTATTTTTAGCACAGTTTTGACTGGGGTTCTGTTTATATTTTGTAAGGTGTGACAGTTGTGAGCAGTGGTACCATCTAAAATGTCTTGACCCTCCATGTACACGAACACCTAAACAACGGGGATATACCTGGTTCTGTGAAGCCTGTGATAACTCAGACGATTCTGTAAGTATAAATGTTAGGTAACTCTCAGATTTCTTTAATGATAAGGTTATTAATTTATAACTTAATTCTTAGTACAGAGTGGTCAAGGTTGTTGGCGTCTGATCATTTGATCCCTTAACTAGCAGCAATTAGATCTTGTCTATGTCACCAGTATATAACCGGGCCAGGATGTATCTTCTTGCAGTCTGACTAACTCTAATCTGGTGGCAGAAAAAATTATCAATTTGGTATAGAAATCCTTCTGACTACCAATTGACAGTTCTAAGTTCAAAAGACACACAACAGAGTAAACATTGATATACGAAAAATCGATGTTGAAAATTGGGAATACTAGTATATGATGTTGAAATCATGAATTCACGAAGTTGAAATCATGACGTTCAAAATGTGAATTTGTGAAGTTGATATCGGGAATTTGTGAAGTTGAAATCTTGAATTCCAGAAGTTGAAATCATGAATTCATGAAGTTGAAATCATGAATTCATGAAGTTGAAATTGTGAAGTTCAAAACATGAATTTGTGTTTGTGAACTTGTGAAGTTGAAATCTTGAATTCATGAAGTTGAAATCCTGAAGACGAACCTGAGAATTCAAGAAGTTAAAATAGCATCACTGGTCTTTAATATTAATAAGAAAACTTCTTAGCTTCACTACTGGAAGTATGCTCCAACTTCTAATTAAATTTAATTATAATGTTTACAGATATTTTTAAATAAATAAGATTAACATAATGATAAAAGTTTTATTTATACACATACATTGTAAATAATAGTAAAAGGTCATCCAATGATCGTAAAAGGTCATCACATAATTGTAATCTTCTTTTCTTACCTTTTTCTCAGGAGGAAGACGAGACTGAAGATAAAACATGAGCGTAAATGTCCTCTGTCCTAGAAAACTATTTCCACATAGCATTATGAACATTGTGCTGTCACCAGTGACTTTCATATCATCAAGTACCAAAATGTGTTCTACAGTTATTATATGTGTAGATTTCACTACTGATGCAAAATAATTGTAGATAGGATAAGTCTGTTAATCCCATGTTGGAATTAATCAACTTTGAAAGTACATGTATTGTTATTTGGTGTTTTTGATATTCTCTTGACAGCAACCAAAGAAAAAAGTGTATTTACTTTCATAATGTTCTCTGAATAAATGTTTTCAGAGAATCAAGTAGTTCCCAGTGAGCCCTTCTATTCTTTATACTTTTATACTGGCAAGTTAAAACTTGTATTCTTTCAACACACTTGTTTATCTCTTTTCATGACAGTTTCATTTATTGACTGATTACTTACAGGTTTGGGCTATATTAAGGTCGTGGTATATCAGTTATTGCAATATTTTCCCCTCATGATACAATAAACGGATGTAATTTTGAAAAACTGGTAAAATACTGGCATGATTCTGCACTGAAAAGACAATCTACAGGGAAGGAGATTTGCCATGCTTATTCAGATTTCACTCTTTCAAAAGCTCAAAAAGAGGTCAATTTTGCCAAAAATTTGTTTAGATATTTGGTATCTTTCACCTACTTCCACCATTGAGGTCAATTGGTTGAAGATGACTGGGGGGTTATGAATAGATTTTTTTTCTACTTTTCATCTATGAACCTTTATTTACTGAAATTAGAAATATTTGAGCCGCGTCACTACAAAACCAACATAATGGGTTTGCGACCAGGATGGATCCAGACCAGCCTGCGCATCCGCGCAGTCTGATCAGGATCCATGCTGTTCGCTATCAGTTTCTCTACTTGTAATAGAGTTGGTAAGCGAACAGCAATGGATCCTGATCAGACTGCGCAGATGCCATGTTTCAGGCAATTATTTGCCAATTCAGATGAAATATAATTTTCCAATATATCTCAGCCTCTTGTACCTTTCCTGGGTATGCTTGAAGATATTTGTAAATCAATGTGACCACATATTTTCGTTAAAACCTTTGCACAAAGAAATATTTGAGCGGTGTCATGACAAAACCAACATTGTGTGTTTGCATCCGCGCACTCTGATCAGGATCCATGCTGTTCGCTATCAGTTTCTCTACTTGTAATAGAGTTGGTAAGCGAACAGCATGGATCCTGATCAGACTGCGCGGATGCGCAGGCTGGTCTGGATCCATGCTGGTCGCAAACACACAATGTTGGTGTTGTCGTGACGCGGCTCATTTCTACAATCATATCAGCCTGAAGTAGCTGCTTCAAAGCATGACAAGTTAATGGCACAAATTTATCAGAATGAGTTTGTTTGTTTATTGTTTAATTGGGTTTTACGTCACACCTACACATTATAGGTCATATGGCGACTTCCAGCTTTACTGGTGGAGGAAGACCTTCTGTGCATTATTTCAGGCACGAACAGGCACCTGAGTAGAACCACCATCATTCAGTAAGCTAGCTGAAAGAAACAAAAGTCACTGTCGGGATTCGAACCAACAGCGGTGAGGTGCAAGTGGTTTAAAGTCAACAACCATAACCACTTGGCCACATACGCCCCTTTATCAGAATGAGGGCTTAATTCAGACTGTATTAATGTTAAGGGTAAAAAAAGAGACCCAAATAGGTTTATATACTCCAATTTAATACTAAGTATTTTCGTTCTGATACATTTGATTTCAATACAAAAATATACAAGAAAAAAAAAATATATACAATAAAAAACAAGATGGTTTCTTTTTTACATGATGAATAAGTAATCTGAAAAAGATGGACATTTGAATTAAATGACAAAAAAATATAGAGTCAAAGTCTTTAATGTAACAGTCTACCAAAAGTTATTGATTTAATTTAACCAGCAGAGTAGCTTAATCTACTGAATATGACAAGAAAAATACTTTAAATACAACAGTATGTATATATTTCGATAGTACTTACAAACCAGGTGATACACCATTCAAAAATTATCTATGGTTTATTAATGAAAATCTAGTCGATACCAGCAAATATAATGCCCTTAATTCAAAGGTCCATCTTTTAATAACATCAACAATTAAATGGTTAAAATATGAACTGGAGGTATACACAATCCTTAAAATACTTATCTTGATATAGCAGTATCCATTACCAATGTCCCTGAATTTTATGAAATAGAAAGTAACCATTAAGCTTGCACAATGTTCCATTAAGCATGTAAAAAATGACTGCTTTGGTTTTATAATGATGAAATTATCTAAATGATTATCTTGCTAAAGCGTTACTCATCATTCACTCTTTGAATTTTAAAAGAATTAACGTAAGAAAAACAAGACTTAATTTGACAGAGCAAAAACATGGGCAGAACTATTTTATGCAAATCAGGGATTTTTTAATTTTGATTTTGGGAACATAACCCATACCCATGGAATTGGGAATTTCAGCGATATTTTGTAAAAAAATTGGGAAAAATGCATGACTCAAATTTTGCAGTGATTAAATGGATGCAAACAATTACTGTCTAAGATGACATCTTCAAACATTTAAGCATTATTACAGTGAAGAAGCCCTTTTTTTCAAAGATTTTAGTATTTTTATTCAATATTTTTATTTTAGTAACTTTCAATTAGGAATATTTTCCTGTGGATTGGGAAAATAATATACTATTTTCAATTGGGAATATGACCCAACAATGGCTATAAAATAAGCCAAAAAAATCCCTGCAAATGAATAGCGCACTGATTTGAATAATTAATTAAAAAGGAAATTAGGCTTCTACTGCCTGATTAAAAGGCCCAGTCCTCCGTTAAAATGAAGGAAATAAAATAATATGCTTATTGAGGCCCAGTCCTCCGTTAAAATGAAGGAAATAAAATGATATGCTTATTGCAGCCCATTTAGAAAACGAAAGTAAGGTGTTGTTTCCGACAAAATAAATCAATATGTTACATAACATAAACATCTTGAAAAACCTAATGGCTTATTACAATTTTACATAAAACAATTGTTTTATCTATGTGGTTTGTTGCAATCACTAGCAAATTTGGAACACAAAAGCATTATTTTTCAACAAAATAAATCAAAATGCTACAAATCACAACATAAACATCTTGAAAAAGTTAATGGCTTAATTTTTTACATTTTTCCTAAAATAAATTGTATTATTTTAGTGACTTGGTGCAATGACTAAGGTACGCATGTTTTGGTGCATCACAAAATGGCAAGGTTTGATTTTCTACTTTAGATGATGCTATTTTCTTAGTAAAAATTGTAGGAAGGGAAAAACTACCTGCACATATCATTTTAATGGAATATTTACAAAATATAATAAAAAATTAAACAGAAGATAAACTTAAATAGGTTGGGGGTGTTAACATTTTTTGTGATAATAGGGGAGAGAGTTTAAAAAATTAACTTGCACTGTAATTGGCCATAGGACCTTTTAAATTAACAAATTCACAGCATCATTAGTGCAAGAAGGACTCTGTGTGTGTGTGTGTGTGTGTGTATTATTTTACACAACTGTACAGATCTAATCATAAAGTGAGGATTTTGACTGGCATGAAAAATTCATGGCGAGTACATTGCGATATCTTTCCTCTTAGGTTAGGCAAAAACAATGTTATATTTACAAACGAGTGCAATTGAAATTGCTAAAAAGATAGAAAAAGTTAAAAACAACTGTATACATCTATATACAAACATTATTTTTTAAAGTAGATAAGAAATTTTCAACAACAAAAATATGTGTATGTGTACAAAATGTTAATGTAAATTGTTTGGTTTCCTGTAAGCAATGAAATGGTTACTAATTTTATATTATGTCATATTACAACAAATGCTGGCATCACGTAAAAAACCATCTACCTTCCAAACAAAAAGAGAAAAAACTATAAAAAATTTGTTTCTATGATATAAGTAGATGTGAAAAAAAAAGCACTTTACGTAATTGTTTCCTGAAACATGATGATCAAAGTCATGAAATTTATCTAATTAAAAATCTCCGAGAGATACAAATATTTTAAATGATTATACTAGTTGAAAATTAATGAATCTGTATAAAAATTCTATTGGTCATTTAAAGGTGCATAAATAACCTACTAGAATACATTAGTGCTTACTGTTAACTACCTTTTTCTTAATAATTACTCCAATTTTATTTACCACAGTGTATTAAACTATTTTATGTTTTTAAACTCTTTGTTGACATTTATTGGCAGAATTTTCCCTTTTATAACAAAAAATAAATTCCTTCTAAGATAATCGTATAAAGGTTGCAGTATTTTATTCTGCCAGCTTTCAATTTGTATACACTTAAAGGAACTCAACTGAGATTTTTCAAAATGAAGGGACTGGAGATATATTTTTTCCAGACTTGAAGAAGTCTTTACTAATAACTTGTGTTCAAATTTTCAGATCATTTTTTCCCAGAATGATCATTTGTATTGTGCAAAATGTCCAAAAAAAGGCAAGTTTTTCACTCAAACTTGGCTAAAAATTGTGCCAAAAATTTGATTGTCAATTTAGCTCTGAGTATATCTCTTCAATATTATCACTTTAATCTTTTGCAGATTTTACTATTTTTAGAGCACCACTTGATTGATGCAAGAATATAAAATTTTAAGTTTTAAGCTTTTTTACCTCAGTTGAGTTCCTTTAAAAATACCAAATGTTTTAAACAAGTGTAAAGAAAAGCTGAAGACCAGTCAGCTGTATATAGAATGTTTTGGTGTGGAATGTATAACACTTGGTATATTTTTCATGAGATGAACACTGCCACACAGCTTGCCAGATAAAGAAGTGATGCTGTAACGCTGACGCCAAACCCCCATGACAGGAACGTCTCGCTATCTATCTGAAATGCTTTCTGTGTGTCCTTCAATGCTCCAATAACAATACATCCAATAATGATGAACAGGACTGAAAACAAACATAAACAAAGATGAAACTTAATACTCATTATCACACAGTTAACTCGTAGCTTGCTTGAGGCAACAGATTTTACCCATGTGACCAGGTTTGTAGAAAATCTAAGAAAAAATCTAAGTAATGATCAAAGTTCAAGTTACTTGCAAAGAAAATGCAAATACTGGTTAAAGATAATGTTCATTGTAGTGTATTTAATTTATTGCCTGCTGGTATATGACTGTAGTATTAACTCTTAGCATGTTGGCGATAAGAGAATATACCCATGCCACCAGTGCAGACCAGGCTCAACTGGAACATCCATGCTTCCTAATCATGGTCTGCATTGTTCCCTATTCAGACTCGCCCATAAACTCAAATTCGCACACACAATAGATAAAAAAAACAAGAAAATATATGAGCCGCGTCACAACAAAACCAACGTAATGTGTTTGCGACCAGCATGGATCCAGACCAGCCTGCGCATCCGTGCAGTCTGATCAGGATCCATGCTGTTCGCTTACAAACCCTATTACAAGTAGAGAAACTGATAGGGAACAGCATGGATCCAGATCAGACTGTGCGGATACGCAGGCTGGTCTGGATCCATGCACGTCGCAAACCCATTATGTTGGTTTTGTTGGGCGCGGCTCATATTTATAAGTAATTTCTTACAGGCTAAGAAAAGCTGAACAATGCTCATGATTTTCAGGTTTCTATTTTCCCGACAGGTGCCGACAAAGTGGTAGAGAATCATCATAAAGAAAGCAACAGAGCCGAAAATAAACCCTATCACTTCAAACGTCTGTACTGTCCGGAACCAATCTGAAAAAAGATAATTTCATACAAAATATTTTATAAACACTTACTGGTTGGAGAGATAACTCCGACACAAAATCACATATTTTCTGTAATAACTTAATTATCTTATTTATTTAACTTATAAGATATCTTAACATGATAGAAATTAACTGTATCTCAGTGGAACCTTGTGTAACCTTTGTATCCAAGAGGGTTGGAAAAACATATATGACCAGTAAAGCAATGAAAATAAGATATAAAACTTTATAATATAATAAATAATATTGATTTGTGTTTTATATAACAAAATAAAATCTCTACAATGATAATTTATCCCTTTCACTGCCTGTAAGACAAGTTAGTTTATACCCGGCCTTTACTTGCTGTATCATTTAGGCCATCCTTAAAAAAATGTTTGTTTGCAGTAACGCTACCGACTCACAAAATTTGCCCCTACTCAAAAGTTTTTTTCATGGTCTGGATAAAAAAATTTTTTTTTTTAATCAGAAAATTATGCCTTGTGCTTTGTTTTTGTTCTTTTAAAGGTAAATAGAAGAAATAAAATGTAGGTATTATTTAATTAGAATTCATTTATTAATTGTTACCAGATTATCAAAGCATAAATTGTCCATCATTTTGAAATTCCATGTTTATTAGTTCAATAAAAAAAATCAAAAAAAAAATCGACCTACCTACCCACCTTGAAAATTCTGGGTCGAGTTACTGCAAACAAACATTTTTTTAAGGATGGCCTTATTAGCCAGCAAGAATTGAAACTTAAAAAGTCTATTTATTTGATCAAATGGTGACATTAATAATTTATGTTATTTTTAGCATATTTTTGGTTTGTGGTAGCTGGAATAAAAGTTGTGTGTTTATGCTTACTTTGCACATTTTCTTCCATACAAGTATAGGTTTTATATATTTTACATACATGAATTGATTAATACTGATAGACAATATATACTGATGTGCCAAAGCTAGATTCTGATATAATTTTGTTCTGGGTCACAGTCTGGCTTTTAGAGGCGAGATATTTCCCAGACACAAAATAGCACAAATTGTGCTATTTTGTGCCCTCTAAAAGTTGTCTGAATATCGATCTCGTCATGTGGTAGCAGGTACAATTAGTTGTAATTCTTAAGCTATTTCTCTGCCACATGAAGCATTTTCTGATTATTAAATAATCCTAGAATGAATATATAGTGATCAAGAGATTTATATTATTATTACATGTAAAGGTATTTTATGTCATCAATCAACTGTCCTTCTGTCAAACCGTTGGAAATTTAAAGACATTGCCCCCCAAAAAAACTGATTGATGTTTCTTTGACGTCTAGATCTATATCAAATTAAGTCATATATTACATGACTTTACCTGACTATTTTGCAATGTATTATTTAAATGTAGAAGCGATATAAAAATATAAAAACAAACCTTGAATGTAAAATACAATGTATATCTACAATTATTGTTTTCTACCTTTTGTTTACAAATATGTTACTATAAATAGACAGTGATTCACACGAGTTTCAGGTAACTTACATATAAATTAATGAAGTAAGAAAAGGTAAGAAGAGCATTATTGTGTTAAACAGGTTTCGCTGTAACTTACGAGAAACTTGTGGGTCTGTCCACTGAAATCCTCGGCAAGAATCTTTGGTAAGGCCGAAGTTTGTACAAGTATGCCAAAGCCCGTTATAGCCAACTGTGCCGTAATCCTCTGTGACCGTATCTACCCAGTGATCTGAGGCCAAGCCAGCTATCTGGAAAAATGTGGCCAAAGCCATTATTATAAACCCGATCAACACAATGAAATCCATCTGAAACTTGTCATCTCCTCCCCGATTTCGTTCATTTCCTCTACCGAACGCCATTTTGAAAATAGTATCCCAGAATGCTTTGATCAATACACAGGTGACATACCTGCTCAGGTATGACAGGTATTTTCACTGTACAGTATATGCGCTACGAAATGCGTGATCTTTAATACAGGGATTTTAACATTTTAATTAATTTCGCGGGATCTTGACACAATTGTTATAGGTCGGGATTAGTAAAGGCAACTTAAAAACGCGTCTTAACTCCACCATATTTGAATATTGACAGTGAAGATTTAAAATTACATTTTAAACGGTTATTTTAAAAAAGTCAGGTAGATAACATATATATGTCATATATGTCTCTGGGTAATTATATTGTCTTAATTTATATAGCATATGTTAATTAGTGGCAACAACTCAATTTAACCATGGTGTGCACGTGAAAGTACATGTATAATATACCGTTGGAACCAACAGTCTATTTTTGCACGATTTGCACGTGCAATAAAATTTTAGCTTGTCATGTGAGACATGTGTTTTTGTGTACTGGTTGTAAACATGGCTAAGTGGCATTGTGATTTGAGAAAGGGGCAAAGAGCTTATTACAAAATTCATGGATTATTGAATAAAAATGCGCGTAAGAAATAACAACGGATCTAGATTTAGTTTATGGAGAAAATGCCCTCTCATATCGTACAATTGCCATTTTCGCTGCCAATGTTTAAATATGGTAAGGATGTGCGGCAAATTCCCGCTACCTCTGCACTGTCAAAGCCATGGAGGACATAAGTGACATATAGGGCGTCACACGTGTTTTCCACATTGAAATAAAAGTTAAAGTCGCCCGTTGGATCCTGCATTTGTTGAAAAAGCCTCGGCATATTGACTAGGTTCAAATATCGAGAACCTAGACGCCTGAGAAAAAAATTGTCGCAGGGGATGAAACGTGGCTTTTTTTTAGTTTTTTTTTAGCCAGTAACAAAATGTGGGTCGGTGAAGACCGCGATCGGTTGCTCGGCGTAGCAAGAACATTAAAAGAGTTATGTACGCTCTACTTTAAACATTTGTGGAATAGTGGCCCGTGTCACTGTGGCTAAGAGGGGCAGTGTCACTAGAACATTTTACCATGACCATGTTCTCATTGCTGTAGTTTATCACTACATTACAAAGAACCCAAGGTCTGGGGTGCGCAGAATCAAATTACGCCATGATAATGCACCTGCTTACCGCTCAGCCTCGGTTCAAGCTTATTTAGAGGAGCAGAGATTTGAGGTTTTGTTACATCCCGCTTAAAGTCTTGATCTCTCTCCTTGTGACTTTTGACTAGATCCATACATTAAATCTTGCTTTCACGGTCGCCGGTTCGAAATCCTTAGTGCCGTTGGAAGCGCAGTTCAAAAATGCTGCTGGAAAAGTGTGTAGAGGTCCGTGGTGAATATTTTGAAGGACTCTACTAATAATTTTTCACAGGTATCACTTACATGTATTAATACATGTATAAATAGTAATGCTTTCATGGCAGCTCTATAACTTATTGACAATTCAAAGGTTTTAAAATAACTTGGCACAAATGATTCTCACCATGACAAAATCTGCAGAGCTTAACATCAAGGTTGCTACCCCCAAAGTCAAGGTTATATGTTCTCCATAACTTTTTGACTTTATGGAAATAATCACCATCGTGAGACTATGTGCTTATGATATGCATGGCACAAAATCAAGGTCATGGCTGGTAAAAGGTCAAGAAGTTCACATTCATGTTCACTGTGCAAGGGGATTTAGCTGTCCTTCAGACTGCCTTGTATCAAATAAGAACCTCTAGAAAGGCCCATCACCGTGGATTGTGTGAATTTACTTTATACCACCACGCTTTACACAGATAAGGTCCCTCTAAAAGGCCTATCACCGTGGGTTGTGTGACCTTTAGATCTACAACCATGCTTCTTATCCGATAAAAACCCTCTAATTATAAAATGCCTATCACGGTGGCTTTTGTGAGCATTACTGTATTCACTGGGCTATACCATCATGCTTTTAATCAGATTAGAACCACTAGATATGTCTGTCACCTTTGGTTGTGTGAGCTTCACTGTATTTCCCATGGCTCTATCACCGGTTATATATAAGATGAAAACCACTATACCAGGCCTATCACCGTGGGTTGTCCTCTCTACCACCGGTTTTATATCAGATAAGAACCACTAGACAGGCCCATCACCGTGGGTTTTGTGAGCTTTACTGTATTCCTTGACGCTATCACCTTGAGTTAGTTGCAATTAAACTATTAGATAGGCCTATTACCGTGGGTTGAGTGAGCTTTATTTTTTTAGGCTACCACCGTGTCAACATTAGATATCATTTGACAAGTATAGGTTTCTGGTGACTTTCATAACAATGTAGCCAATCTCTAATACATGTAGGTAAGGCTCAAAATTGAAAATTTCAATGTAAATTTCTGTTTTAAGTGCCCCATAACAGATTAGAGTTCTTAAGCAATGTACTCCTCCTAAATGAGATATATCAACCTTTAAGTAGATAACTCCATTAGTGTTTAAGATATGCGCTAGACAAGTAAACCACTGAAGATGGAGTTCCAGTTTATTTCCCTTATAACTTGGACTGATGACATCCACACTTATACTAAACTTTCCGATCATATTACAGAATGTCATGAATCTTATCAAGAATGAATGTCATTAGTATACTTTTCTCGATTGCTATCATTTTAGCTGACAACTTTCGAACAGAAAACAAAACACTACAAAAAGTAGTCATATTTTTTATTAACGAGAATCGTTTTATCTGGGTGGGAGCAATAATCGACTTTTTTACTTTAATAAAAAGCAAATAAATAAGTAAATAGCAAACAAATGAACAGTTTAAACAAATTTTTTAAAAAGATAATTAAAAAAATAAATAAGTTGTTCCTTTTTTATTTTAATAGGTATGTCTAGTCACACTTGTTTTCTGTCCAAGTAGAATCATTTCCGTAAATAAATAACAAAGTCAGGAAAAATGACCTTGGCAGTCAATGTCATTTAAAGGTTAAGGTCATATCTAAATTATTCAACATGTTTGTTAGTTCAGAGGTGTTTTTTATATATATGATTAAATCAAATCCGTAGATAAATAACAAAATTATGATAACTTTACCAAATTCAATAATTTGAACTTGTCAGTTCAAGTTATTTAAAGGTCAAAGTCAGTTTAACCTTTTAGAAGGCTTTGTCCAAATGGCTAAGGTTGAAGATAATCCCTTGATTAATTATCAAGTTACAGCCAATTATAGCAACAAGAGCTGTCTGTAGGACTTATAATGAAATCCCTCTATGCATATATAAGTTTTGCTCCGGGCAAACGTTTTAAAGGACCTCTTAGTGTGACCTTGAACTTTGACCTAGAGACCTAGCTCATGTGCCCAACACTCCTCCTTATAGTGGTGAACATTTCTATGAAGTTTTATTAAAATTCCTCAATGCATGAACAAGAAATGCTCCGGACAAAAATTAGAAGCCAGCTGGGCGACCTATAATAGGACCCGTTTTTCAAAACACAGTAATCAAATGACATTTGCTTGACATTTAATCAAAGAAAATTAAACATATACAATATTTGTTTTAAATAAATTACAAACAGTATAAACAATATATATTATGAAGAAATTACAAACAGTAGTAAACCAAAAATAGAAACAGAACGTAACAAAATTGACATAATGAAGAATTTAGAAACAAGAAGTAAACAGTATTCATTATGAAAAATAGCAAATAGTAGTAAACAATATTCATTATAAAGAAATTACAAACAGGAATAAACAATATTCATTATAAAGAAATTACAAACAGTGGTAAACAGTATTCATTATAAAGATTTTACAAACAGTGTAACCAATATTCATTTCAAAGAAATTACAAACAGTAATTAACATTATACATTATCAAAAAATAACAAACAGTAGTTAACAATATTCATTATAAAGAAATTACAAACAGTGTAACTAATATTCATTTCAAAGAAATTACAAACAGTAGTTAACAATATTCATTATAAAGAAATTACAAACACTGTTTAACAATATTCATTATAAAGAAATTACTAACAGTAAACATTATGTAGAAATAACTACTGTAAATCACTTTATATTCGGTGATCTTTATTTCAAGAAAATTCCCTTCCTGAGTTATTTCGCATATTTATGAAGTCGTGACAGCAGGGTAGGCAATTTTAATTTGCGTTTTTAACTTAAAGTCACAATATGAAATGGAAGAAAGTCTTAATACTCTATTTTCCTTGGCAAACTTATTTATAGTAAATGTAACTGTTGGCCGGTAATGGTCATTTACTGACAGTTAACCATTTCACATACCCACATAATTGATTTATTTTTCAAAAGAAGAATGAATGTTTATTTTCTAATTCTTTGTCATATTGACACAAAATTTCTTTTGAAAATCGTTACATGTATTTCACGAATCCGTACTGTATGCATTACTTTAGTTTTTAGTACACTTATTAAGCAATTGAATTGCACAAACATGACAAGAAGAATTTATTCATGTTGGTTTGGAAAAATAACCGATTCCATAGAGTCTATAAGAAATTTCTGCAAAGCAGTTACTGAAGCAATGGAATGTACGCCAACATGAGGAGTGAAAAGAAAGCGTGGACAATATTGCAAATATTCACCTGAGACACATTGCAAAATTGCAAAATAAGCCATTGAAAATGGCAAATACAAAAGCTGCACATCATTTCAGTGGCACACAATATTCAATATGAAGAAATAACAAATTACAGTAAACTAGAAATGTGTCCATAGGACACTGATGCCCCCACACGCCACTGTTCTGTCAATCTTATGACTCTAGGTCAAATATTTTTTGGACTACATGTGCCACAAGTTGAAAACTAAAAATCAACAAACGGCCATAATTCTGTTAAATTTGGTCGCAGCAAAATATCCTTCCTTTACTACCATCTAAAAATTAAGGTTGTTAATCCCTGGAAGTTTAAGCAAAATCTGCCATCCGGTTTAAGAGGAGTTGCGTTCACAAAATTTCTACATAGTATAAAGTGAAAAAATCAACAAAG